AACAGTGACCCATACCGTCTATCAGGATGGAAAGCTGCTCATCAAGGATCAAACCGATCGCGTGGTTAAAGTAAACTTCCTTGCCAGAATTAACTAGACTAAGGACTAGTTTTGACAAGATGTCCAAACATGTCAGTGTTCAACGGATTGTTTAAAGTTGATGTTTATTTTGTGCAAAATTAACTAGATTAAGTAATGGTTTTGTTAAGATGTCAGAGCAGTTCAGTGTTGAGGATCGTTAAGAATTAAATTTAGTTTTGACAAGTTAATCGTTGGTGTAGTTACATGTCGGGGAAATGTTGTGATTTTTCCCTTGCAAAGTGGTTGCTCTGGTGCCAAACACTCCTGAGTTTCAGTCGTTCATGTGTCACTTTTTCGTTTATTCAAGATTTTTTAGGCATTTTGAAGTTTTCGCACAATCTTGTTTATGCGAGAGGTGTACTTGTGTTTTTGAGGGACAGTTTTGCATTACAAGAGAGGAGACAATTTTATTTGTAGCACAATATATGCTTTCATACGCATGGGCGTCGCGGGAAGGGCAAGGGGGCGCTTGCCCCAACCCCGGACAGGCAAAAAAAAGGCAAAACAAACAAAAAGAGGCGCGAAGTCATATTGTTGTTATTTTAATGGGTTGGGAGAGGGGGGCAAATGTCCCTGCCCACCCTCGAAAAATGGTAAATCTGGAAAATGCTGGAAATAATAGGGATTTTGGACCCAAAAAAATGTGCTTGCCCCCCTCTAGAAAGAAATCCTGGCGACGCCCATGTTCATACGTGTGCGTTTGAGGGGCAGTTTTGTTTTCATCTTGAGGGGTCACATTTATAACCGCACTTTTGTTTGCTTGGGAAAATAATGAGGGGAGGGGGGTTCTGCCCACCGTTTCCGCCACCCCATGTGCTATCGCATGATCAACAGAAAATAACCGTGATTGTTCAGTTTGTTCTGTTCTGTGCACAACCTGCAACACGTTTGCGCAATTTTGAAAATTCATAAAAAAGCTGGGTTTTTTTTCTTCGGTCGGGAGCCTCCCCCCCCCCAAAAAAAGGGTCAGTCGGAAATGAGAACCATAGAATTAAAAGAGACGCCCCCATCCCCCCCCCAAAAAAAAAAAATGGAAAAAATATTGACCTTTTGTGCCGATCAATGGCTCACTGGGAAGCTCACGATTTTTGTTGTGGTAACAAAACATTTAGTCAGTTTTAAAATCTTGTAGCGGTACTGCCCTCGGACGACTGCCCCGGCGAGTAGCGGCGAACGGCCCAGCCTCTACTGTCGGGTACGCAGATCTGTTGTATAAAGGCTTCCTCTCTATACAGCAGCCACCGTGGGAAAAGAGTACGACGCTTAGCGTGCGGCGGCTTTTGTAGGGCTAGTCTGGTTCCCAGACCTGACAATTATTCCCGACGCTCACGTCTTAAATTGTAGGTCAGGCAGCCTCCGTGGCTAAAAATAAACATGACGACATTAATGGCCCTTTTTCAAAGCACGGCTTCGTTTCCGATTTCGCTTTATCACTTGTAGCTTTTAATGTTCTGATCCTTAAATAAATCACTTGCTTCGTAATATCATACAGTTACGATTATACAGTTTAATGTTTTTTGTAAGATAACATTGAGTAATGTTGATCTGGAATCTTCAAAATTAGGGAACCAAATAGCACTGTTAGCAGGCGGAGCCGAATGAAGACCGAGTTTTGGAAAATATCGGTAACGGTCGTCAAATTCAAATTGTACATGACGCAGCAAAAAGTTCGCCCGTACGATCCGAGTATATTTGATGCACAAAATCGTCGTTGAATTTCAAGTTTTCTAAACGAAAACAATGAATATTAATTATCAACTCATTTAAAATAAAATTAATAAGCAATTAACAGTTAATTAAACCTATATTATTTACTCGGAAATACTCGGGCGCTATCCGATTGTCGACGAAACAACTTCGGCAAACTTCGGAAGTTTTCGGAAAAAGGAGGAATTCCTCCCGTTTTAGTCACGTGACGTGAATTGTAATACATTGTATTACCGGAGGCTACCGGACCTAAGATTCATCAGGAATAGTCGGAATCTGTTGGTCTGGGAACCAGACTATTGTAGGGCGCGCACTGTAAGCTGGTGCCCCCGTACCCTGTGCGAGAGCACGCGCACATCGCTAGCTATCAGCAAGTAACTGAATTGCGCCCTCATTAAAATGCATCGCGCTACAATAGTGTTACTATTTATATTGCAGAATGCTTCACTGGTATTAAGTCAACACACATAATCCCAACCCATCCAAGTGCAAAACTATGCAATTTTGTTTTGGAAAACAATCTCTTGAATGACTGTCTTTTATATTGGAAATAATACACATGACATTATGACAGAACCAAAGTTGCTAGGAGTATAGATTCACAACAATCCTAAAATGGAACACCCAGGTTCAAGAAATGATTTCTAAGGGTAGCAGACGCCTCCAAAGTCTTAGTCACTTTAAAAAAAATGTGGTGTTCCCAGAAAAGATCTTGTGACAATCTTCACAACATGATTATGTTCATCTTGTTTTTGAATATGCTGAACCTGTGCAGCACTCTGATCCCACTTCCAACGTGACCATCTTCACGTACTGAAGAAGTCCCAAAAGGGCCATTGAGAGGCATTATGGACCATGATTATTCCACTTATAATGCACTGTCTGATCTTGGCTCACAGGAGGGAAAACCTTTGTTTACAATTTGCCAAATATTGTGTTGTCTCTCAGCGTTTTAAGAGCTTGTTTTCAAAAAAAACCATTATGCTCATACAATGGAACTTCGGCAAAACGGCATTTTACTGAATCTCAAGTCAGGATTGAAAAGTAAGGCAAAAGCTCTATCCCGTATCTCACTAAAGTACTCAAAATATATGCTTGATCTTCGACAGTGTTTGGTGTAAGTGAACGAGAAAACCATTCAATTCATTGTATATATCATTTTTGTTTTTGCTAAACCCTTTTTTTTCTATGCCAACATACTCAAAATTTTATCTTTTAGGTTATTATTGATGAGTAATAAAACAAAGCAGAACATTATTCTTTTTAAACAAAATTGGCCTAGAATGACCAAAATACATAATGGTCTGTTACCATGGCAACGGACCTGCTATAAAATGTCCAGTCCATTTTGGTTACTTCCCAAAGTCCTTTCATCCCACAAAGTATTACTCCCACACACACAAAATATTTTTGACGGCGGATTTGTTTAATTGTGACAAACATACCCTAATGTTTTAAGTCACATTTACAAAACAAATTGAAATTGAGGCTAGAAAGCATAATAGTTTGGCAACATCCCATACAACAGTTCACAATTTATAAAATACATTCAGGAAACACGACCCAAATGGCTTTCTCGTGAATAAGGTCCATTACTAATTATTTACACTAAATGACTCTTAATTAAGAACGTTTATCGCGACGCTTAAACGACTCTTACAGCGACGCTTAATAACACTCACCGCGCTGCTTATAAAGACTCACACATCGAAACTCAAAAGTGTTTGGCACCCGAGCAAACACATTGCAAGGGAATAACCACCACATTTCTAGCAAGCATATTTGGAGTTTGTTCAATCCTGAACATTTATTTAAAGTAAACAGCAATGTTATTACGGGGGATGTGTGCATAGAATTTCGTTCAAATAAAGTGTTACTGTAACACAGTCACTTTTAGTGACTCCATCGGACAAAATAGAATTGAGGAAATATGCCATACACTCCCATGAACTGAATGAAAACCAACTAGACACTTCTCAATATTCTATATACAATATACAAGCAAATTTATTTACAAAAAAGCCCAAAATTTCAGATATAAAATCACTGCAGTTCAAACAATTTCTATGATTTGACTTCTACAAATTTAGGTATTTCCTCCAATTCTATTAAATTCTCAATCTGCAAAATCCTCCAAATTTGGTTTCTCAAAGCTTCAATAAATTAACAATCTCAAAAACAAAACCACTTCTAAATTCAACTACGAGAATTTCCAATTTCAATCGATTCTCAACTAATTCTCAAAATTGTCCAAATTTTTGAATTCCTCATACCTCCAATACATTCCAATTCTCCAAAATCCAGAATTTTCCAAATTCACTTGCAACTCTAACAGTCTCAAATTTTGCAATATACCAATTCAAATATTCGATGAAACTTCACAATATAATAACACACTCTTATTTCAACTTCAAAAATATATCAAATTAAATTTCTGGTTTCACATCTGATTTTCAAACCAAATTTCCAATCAAATTTGATATTTATGCAAAATCTTCTTAATTCTTAAATTCCAGCTTTCAATCTTCACCTTTTTACAATCCACTGAAATGTTCAATGTCAACCGACCTTAATCACTTTTAATTTTACTCCCAGTCTTCTATCATCAACCTCAAATAATTAATTAACTGAAATTTAGGTTTCTTCAAAATTAAAAAAATTCCAAATCTTCTGAAAATCTTCAGAGCACGATTTTTGTATGCAACTATTATCAACCTTCCTCTATTTAATACAAGTGTTACTTTAATTACAAATACGCCGAGTTTGATATTTTCGGACTTTTAAATCTGGACTGGTGTTTCCAATTGAATTGAGGTAAAGACCATTGTGTAGAAAATTGACTTCATCTTGAATCTCTATATATACTCAACCAAAAAGAAAGTCCCGCATTCCAATACTTTTTTTGTCTAACCCCAAAACTAATGAGCACCTCTCCCTCAAATAAAGACTAATCAGTACAGAAATTCCTTAGCAATCCAGCCAAACTCTTTATTTGGCCCAAAACGGTGAAAATGTTACGCATTAATGCAATTTATGACAAATGATACCGAAAACAGTTGCACTTTTGTATACGTGCAAGTTGTGGTTCACACTCACCTTGCACTAACACAAAAGTGCAACTTTTTTCAGTACAACTTGTCATAAATTGCATAATTGTGTACACATTATCACTGTTTTGGGCCAAACAAAGAGTATGGATGGATTGCTGAGGAAGTTCTGTACTGATTAGTCGTAGTTTGAGCAAGACGTGCCCAGTAGTGTTTGAGTTAGACAGAAAAGTATTAATGGGGGACTTTCATTTTTGGTTGAGTGTGGATAAGTTTGCAAAAAAAAAGTACTATTTTTGACTTCTACATTTTTTGAGACACCCTGTATATACATTTTGAGAAAAGGGTGTAAAATATAGACAATGTTTTCGGGGTTTAGTAACTGGACGCCTTTCACGGACACAAGAGTGTCGGCTCTTTCCAATTGAAATTCCTATATTTAAAACTTGTTTTGTCGCCCAAATTTAAAACAAGACAAGGCAAGGCAAGCCATGCAAGCTGATAACGGAACACACACAATTTATTCAATAGATTCAGAATGGCTTTTCGCCGCTCATGCGCCTGCTTTATAATGGGCAGAACTCCGCCCAACCATTTGCGTTTAAGTGATTATCCTAATTTAAACCTCTGGTTCAAGTTGAAACTTGAGCAAGTATAATTCTTAAGTGGCAGTCAGGGAGTCGATTTAATCAGTAAGATGCAAAGAAGACTATATCTGGGCACCTCTGGAACCAGCCAAAAAATCCGGATAATTCTGATCAGGACAACTTTGGGGTGGGTATTCTAGACACACGGTAGTCTAAGGAATGACGTAGTCTACACTGCTCCGTGTCATCACTCATTTACCTTCTTAGCTCAGTGTGGCCCTGAAACACAAACACACATAAAACAACGATTGATTAAACAGTGGTACTGAACAGCTAGCCTCCCATTCAATGCAGTCTGTTAGTGTTTCTCCAAACTGGGCAACATTTAACATGTAAAGGGACTCGCAACCGGGTGCCGTGACTAAAAAAAAGGGTAATACCTGGGCCATTGTTTCAAATCAACAACAATATACAAAATAAATGGAAATCATTTTCGGCTTCAAATAAGTTGAAAACTATTAACAATATCGTGTTTACCAAAACACGATGAGTGTCATTTTGATATCTTTAAGAATGCCACTCTTTCCTGGCTGCCCACAGGCAGTATGTACAGGTTTTGTACAAGCGAAAAATGCAGTTAAGAAGCAACTGTTGTATACTGTTTTTTTTCTGTATACTTTATTGAAGTTTCTTATTTTTAAACCATTGACATTGTTCATTTAGATTCATTTCACAGTTTCATAATTAAACCGTCTTGTTCATTTTTGTTCTGGTACATTGTTTGATCTAAGTTGTTCCATCTGTGGATATTCAAGCTTTTATTTGGCGATTTAAATTCCTTAATAGTTTGGAGATGTTTTTATCGCAACATAAAAACTGTATTTACTTACCTATATCCAGGGTGTCAACCGTGCTATCTGGTCGCTGTGATGTTCCCCATACCGACACCGATTGACAAAGTGCTCGCAGTTGTTGGAGCAAAGACCGTACACCGGCGTGTGGCCATCTGATTGACGTTTCATATGATACTGGATGGCATCCAAAATGCCTGTCCTGAGTAAGGGGCGCCACTGATTATCTCTGCTGTTATTGATTCTGACCCTTTTCAGAAGGATTTCCGAGATTGACTGTACACGGATGACCGGTTTGTCTTCCGCCGAAGACTCCGAACAACAACTCTTTTTCGTGAAGAACATGCTTCCGTTTCCGTTCGCCGGGGCGAAGTGGACTACCTGGTCGTGGTATTCCCCCCATTTGCCGACGTAGATGCCCCAGTGTGCATACGGGCCGGTACGACTGAACTCCAGCCTGTCACCTACAGTAAATGGAGGCAATGACCGTGGGTCATTGCACCAGTCACTGACCAGCCGGTAATTAATGCACCAGAAACGGTATCGAAAGTAGTTTACCGAGCCCTCGTGTGCACGTCTGAGGGTTTTAACAGCCGTTCTGTACTTTTCGCTTGCAAACCTGTGGAATTTGTTAATGCGACTATCACCTGAGGAAGTCGAAGTTGAGCCAGTTTCTTCGTTTTCGTCGCTCGGATCGAAGTTAACTGCTTGTTTGATGCCGCCCCCCGGCTGGCGGATGTGGTATCGACAGTAGTTCACAAAGTCCTCACAATATGTGAATGAATCTCTGCACACGTGCACTTCCTCTCGTAAAGACCTCTTGTGTAATTCTTTGAGCTGATCCGTGACTTCCTTGCGAATACATCCCGTGCCTAGCGGTGGGCATTCTTTATCCTTTAAGTTGTTAATCCTTACTTTATCGCCATGAAACGTGATAAATTTACTGATGGAGTTAACGACGAGTGCATCACCACTCGCTGGGAGACTAACGCCCAAATAACTCTTTATATTTGAGCATGCTGCCCCACGTTCGTTGCCAGGAATTAAGTGGACTACATTGCAGGGTATGGAGTCCCATTCGCCGATGTAGATGCCCCAGTGCGTACCCGGCAGAGTGCCACTGAGGAACTCGATCCTGTCTCCCACGCACAATGTATCTTCACACTTCGAGATAGTGTGCGACTCGAACCAATCACTGACTACTCCGAAGTTGTTGTTCACTCTCAACAAATCGTCATGACTTGCTAGCCTCGATCCTGCACTCCCCCCCATGACTAAGTCACTAAATAGTCAAAATGTTTTACTACCGAAATAGCCAAATCGTAGTCTAATCTTCAACAGGTGATGTACCGCAGCATGCAGCCCGGTGCACAGCAGTCGCATAATATGAGCTAAGTCAGAATGTGCCAATTAGTCGACGTCTAGCCCTTCTTATATAAGTCTGTCCTCAATGCCAATTGGAACATGATGGTTCCTGTCATGACGCAGTGACTGAATAAGGCATGATGTAATGATTAACATCCATACATTTTAGGCGGATCTTATATTATAGGTCGCGTGCGTCCAAGGTACAACTTTTTGTTCACGCGTCAAACTGCTCCCTGTTGAGGATTGTTCTACTCATGGGAATTCCGATATTATGTTTCGCAAGTCTGTATGGTTGCAATGACGTTTTGGGGGAAATCCGCACATTGGCTAACTTTCGTTATACATGATTATGACATGATAAATTACCCAGAAGCCACCCCTAATTCCTTCACAAGATTCTGTGAAGCTCATCAGCCCGTCCCAGCGGGAGGGGGGGGGGGGTACGAGCGAACATATTCATCCCACTCTTGTTGTGATATAACGCATGACTGCACCTGGTACAAGTCTATTCATGTATATCCTTGGTTACATATGCAACGTACACAATTGTACTATAGTGTGTTATGTGTGCAACCACCGTGTAAAACGATCAGACGATTGTCAATAAATCACTCCGTGTTGAAGCCGATATATAATCTCTCCAGCCTTGTCAGTAATACCACAACTCTATTTCCAAAAGTACTTTTTCACATATAGGCCTTACTGCCCCGGAAATGTGGTTCGACAAACATGACTCTTATACAAAATCTAATCCATAGATTAAAAAAAGGGCTAATGTTGTGGAAATACAATTCTGCTACTTTTTTCACCAGTTTCTGCATCAGAAAACCAAGGTTGACGCTTGCCTTTAACATCCTGTAGCCTGAGTATCACCCGTTATGAGTATCACCCACTATCCATAGAGTCAGGTCTCCTGCATAACGTCTGATATACATCTAAGCATGCGTGACGTCATTTCATTGCGAAATCAGGACTAAGATTGCGATTGATTAATTTCGATGCCGCGATTTTTTTAAAACAACAACCTGTACAAAATGGTACTCATGGTGGGCATGATGTTTACGCACACGGAGGGCTCGAATTACGCGCGTAAAGCGCCTGCCATAGTTGGTCAGTTTCTCGAGGTTATACGCTGTCTAGTTGCATAATTAATCATAGACAGGCCTGCATGTTTTTCCAATTTCAACGAAAAGTAATCAACATATCACGACGATTTTTAGCGCATAAGTTGGATCATTGTAAGGGAAATAAACCCTGAACGTTGCATGAAGATCTTCGGTCTTCCAAATGGGAGAAATTATTTTTCTAAGATTTCGCCCGCCAACGTGAACATGTCTGTGTGCAAGTAGTGTCATTCAAAATATAGTGTTACGTAATCTTTAAAAAATAACTCTTCCCAACCACACGGCTGCGTAATCGGTTACACCTCTATGTTCCGACACCCCTATGTTCCGACTGCACAGTATTCCTATTCCTATTCCTAACCCTAACCCTAACCCTAACCCTAACCGGGAGTAACACAATCTAGGTTGTCGGAACATAGGGGTGTCGGAACATAGAGCATGCAGTCACCGCGTAATCGACCAGGTTGCGACGAATCTAACGACTTGACGATTACGTTCTCGCCAGAGTGACCGTTTTAGCCGAATTTCGGAATTCTGTAAAATTGGTGATCTGACAAGAAACATTATGGCAGATTTGAAAATTATAGATGATTAGTTTTGAAAAAGCTTCAATTCGAGGTTCCCTGACGTGTATTAGTACACAGAAAAGTACTTTAGACCATTGGAAACCGGGATAGACACGTGCAATTTGTTTTAATTTTTTAATTTTAATTTTTTTAAAGGAAATGTTGTAATGTTTGTTTTGTTTAAAGAAATTGTATAACATCTGCATGTGAGTATAAGTGTTTTATAATGTAGTTCGTGTAATAATAGGTGATTTAGCAGATTTTTGTTAAATCTAGTAGAGTTTTGAATTGCATTTAGCAGAATGTTGTCAAGTTAAGGTCACCCTGGTACCGTTATTCATATATGCAAGCAGCGCAATACATAAGCAGCGCATTTTTTGCGGTGAGATCCAATCGCGCACCGCTATGCAAATGAGGACTCATTCATTCCGTTACATGGGGAGTTCTTCTAAATACGTCAGGGACATGTTTGCAAATCTGACGAGGTTTCAATCACCAATACACTCAGCTTGGTCAATTGTGCATACAAATAAAAGTATCATTGTGATATACCTGATTTATTTGAGTTGTGTATGCCCGATAATAAATTGTGTATTCTTACACAATACAAATTACAAACCCTCGATGTAATGAGAATGATCTTCCGTGCCGCCCAGACTACACTCTAGAATCTGAACCAATCAGGGTGTTCGCATAGAATTCGCTACATTCTTAAAACTGTCTTGAGCCATTATATCTTGCTATCAAGAAGCTAAACATTATGTGGTCGATTCCTACTAAACATCAATGTTCAATTGCTAAACGGTACATCCATCCTTACTCAAAACATGTTTAGTATTTGAACATGTTTATGAACTGATAGCAAGAAAGTGTTTAGAAAAGTGTTAGATTGCTGAACAATTTTTTTTGCAGTGTAGCGATTCAAAATACTCCCATATGTTGTGTACACAATTGAAAACGTGGGTAATTGATCAGAAATAGTCAGCATCATTTGGTCTGGGAACCAGACTACGCGCATTGCAGCGATAGTGTGTGTGCGTGGAGCCAGTAGGATAACCTTACGTAAAACAATTACCGACTTGGTATCAAGTCTAGTATGCTGGCAGGATTGGCAGATAAAGTGCAAACATATCAAAAGTGGCTGAGTTACCTTCCCAAACTATAACAGTCCCACAAAATACGCATGACAAATCGAAAACACTGATTATCTTTCATCATACTGCTTTTTTTTTTTTTTTTTACAAATTTCCACGAACTACAGGCGTTTCTTTTTTGGTCATGGTGTGTGGTGCAAAATTATATGTTGCAATTGTCAGGGAAAGTTCCTGAAATCTTTCAGGTAGAAATCAGCTGATATAATCACAAACAAGACCAGAGTCAAACAGGCACGCACTGCACGTACTGTGTGTCCGGCGAGAGTGTAAGCGGACAGTTTTTGGATCCGGGATCAGTGGCCGCAGCCCCGTGATGAAATCCGTGCCATGTTGATTTTTGTTTGAAGTAAAACACACCCGTATTTGTTTCCTTTTCATGTGGTGCAATCGATGCAATGATAAAGTTTGCTAGCCAAAAGTTGAACTTTCAATACACAAACACAATTGCTTATGACATATGAATTTTTCTACGAATTTCTTTGTACTGTAAAAAAAAAAAAAACCTGGGTGCCTTCGTCATGTGGTGGACTTTTAGACTGGGCGTTGGCTGTGCATGATGTCGTTTGGTAATTTTATTTGGTCAGTGAGTACCGGTAGATAGGCTTGGACTGCTGTGGCTATTAATTGGTAAACATGTCAGTTTCATATAGCTATCTCATTTAGCTCCCCTCCGACTGCTATTAATTTGTTGTCATTAATACATTATTTGGAATCATATTTTGGCTTTCCAGTTTCAATGTATTTGGTCGCCCAATATAGGGCTCCGTTACAGCTTTAGGAGACCTTGCCAGGGCCAAGGGCGGATCCGGGGGGGGGGGGCCAAAGGGGGCCATGCCCCCCCCCCCCCAAAAAAAAAACGAAACCAATTTTTTTTTTTTTTATGTGACATCGCAATAAAGGCAGGCAATGAGTACACCACCATCTTTTCCTCAAAAAAACATTGGTTAAAGTGGTCAGAAATTGCCTCAGATCGCACCACAGAGCATCTAGAATCCAAAAATTTTTCGGGGCCCTTAAGCGGGCCCCGAACCCCACGCCGTATTTTTTTTGACCCACTTTTTTGGGGGACCAAAATTTTTTTGGGCCCCCCCCCCAAAAAAATTGTGTTCTGGATCCGCCCTTGGCCAGGACCCTGACTAATCACATTTTATGGATCTGTTGTTTTGATGTCTTGTTTGATTTGGAAGTTATTTAAAAATGGCAGCATATTATAATATTGTTTTGGATCGAATTGATCGAAATTATGACTTGTTGGACGAGAAGCTAGATGCCTAGATGACGTAATACATGTAACAAATTTGGTTATGGGTGTTGATAAAGTTAGATATATCAGAAAATGTGTGTAAGAAACCTATCGTTATACAGGGAAACTGATGATTGCTTGAGTCATTTTGATATGAGTAGTAAATTCAGTTCTTGGACTGAGATACAAAAAAAAAAGCAAATTTTATTGTTAAGTTAAAAGGGCCTGCATAACAACTGTACAGTACACTGACATACCACAAGAGAAGAGCTGTGCAGTTAAGAAGAGTTTATAGAGCCGGGACAAGCTGAACTTTTTTGTTTAGCTGAAAGGTTATACGGTGAGTCGAAAAGGTGAAACACTGCCAGAATTGGCCAGTGATATTCAACGATTAGTGGGTAAGGCATTTCCCACTGCATCTGTAGATTTTGTGAAGACATTGGTCGGAATTATTTCCTATATTTGAGGCAGTACGCTTCCCACAATGCTTTGCTTGCATATGCTTCCTTCACAAGCGATTAGCCCGGAGGGTGGGAGATGGGTACGAGCGAAGTCCATAGGGGTTACTTTATTTTCAACGTTTTTTGTTTCCAGTAGTAGCCCAAGGATGGGAAACTTGCTTCCCGTGCTGATTCGATACAGCAAAAACAAGTAATTCATTTATATCGGATAATTGTTTTATTTTCAATGTGTGGTACGGATTTTAACGTTCAGCTGTGAATTCAGTTTTATGTCCACTCCACCTCTAAAACAATCCCCCTTTCCCATTTTGCTTAATATGATAATATGTAACGCGAAACTGCATTTTGGCTGGATAAGATTTAACATTTTAACGTTGAAAAAGAAATCGTGTTTTTGGATCCTACGCCGCGCGCGCAACGAATTAATTATGTTTTTACCCAGACACCGTATATGAAAACAAACACTGATTAAGAGCACAGCCACGGCACCAGACTAGTATTCCTAATTTACATGTACACGATTTTAAACATGCAAATGATCCAATACCAGGGGTGAGAGAGCAGGTAGTGCAGCAGCGTATCCAGATTTTGATGTCGGGCGGGAGGGGGGGGGGGGGCAACCGTACATCCGCGCCGAAATGTAGACATGCTTTTTCTCCGGTCACTTGCCCTCCGTAAAATCAAAGGGGGGGCTGGGGGGGGGGGGGGCTGGTACTCATCTTCCAAATGAAGGTGCTCTTCACAACTGACATTTATTATGCATACAACATATTATATGGACATTTTTACGGCGCATTCTAATGGTGGTTGAGCGGGTTTTCTTTGATAGGATTGATGTCTGAAGAAATCTTTAAACATTTGTTAAAATCATTGCTGACAAAAAAATGTCGACAAATCCGCCGGGGGGAGTGCCCCCCCCCCCGCCCCTGCTGGATACGCCGCTGAGGCAGTGGTGCAAGAACTGCTTGGTGCCATGTTCGGTGAATAGCACCGTTATGTAAGGTTAAAATGTATCGAGAAAGTTGTTATTGAAAAATACCCTGGAGTAATTTGGATTTTTTTTTAGAAATCATAGGAAACCATACATGGGGAAAGAAAACATATAAAATTTCCCAAGGGAAAAAAGCCAATGGGAAAACTCACATGGGAAAAATCCTATGCTACATGGTGTATGTCCAATTAAACCAGGTAATTCCCATGGGGTCCCATGGGGAAATTTCCCATGGGAACTACAGGGCAGATTTCTGTAAGGGTACAAAACCTGCAGTTTGTTCAAATTCTCAACGGTCCAATGTGGCCCATAAGGTCTGCCAATCAGCAGCGTAGCCAGGGTTCTCATCCTGGGGGAGGGGGGGGGAGGGGCTGGATGCTACATTAGGAGGCGCCCAATTTAATCCATGCTGATCGATCGATGAGTGCTGAAAGGTCGTCGTTAAAATAACAATGTAATATGCTTTACGCTTCTTATATGTGTTTTTTGCTAATAAAGTTGCATACATTGTTGAAGGAATCAACAGAATAGTGGCCATGCTCTTAAGAAGATAGAGGAAATTATTTGAATTCATGGCATTGAACTTCTTCATAATGATCGTATTGTCTTTCAAGAAGCAGAGGATGTCGAGGCACTTCATAATTCAGAAAAAGGTTGATTATTTGACAATTGAAAACTTTTGAAACAATTCAATTTTTTTTTCACAAATTTAAAAATACTTTCAAAAATGCACTTGACTCTCCATAGACTCTGTAGTACACAACCAATAAAGTGGCGCTGGAGCATAGCTTTATTACACAGCTCTATGCGCTGGATACATAAAGCCACAGGCTGAACACAGCCGCGTTTTTGAAAATGTCATGCTTTGTGTGACGTACAGGATGACCGTTTTAGCCGAACTTTTGCTAAATTTGACAGATTCTTTTCTGTAAAAAAGGAGTTTGACAGAAGATTTAGCAGGATGATTTTTTATTATTTTTAAGCATATTTTTTTTGCAGAATTCTATGAAATTGGTGATCTGACAGAAAAATATGGCAGTTTTGAAAAAATAGCTGATTAGTTTTGAAAGAGCTTCAATTTGAGTTTCCCTGGCGTAATTTTTTTTTACACAGTACGGTACTTTAGGCCATTGCAATTAGCCAGGCTAGACCCGGGCACAATTTTAATTTTTTTTCCTTTAATTAATTTTTGTAAAGGACATTTTATGATTTTTGTTTTATTTAAGGAAATTTGATAACATCGGTATAAGTGTTTTAATGTGTTTCGTGTAATAATAGGTGATTTAGCAGATTTTTAAAAATTAAATCTAGCATATTTTTGAAGTGCATCTAGCAGAATTTTGCCATTACTTTACGGTCACCCCGAACACGCATGACGTCATAATTGTTTTGATCATTTTCGCTGATGTCAACCGTTTATGTGCAGACATTCATTTTGTGTGGAATTCTTCAGTTAATTACGTTAAGATGATGGATTTGAGAGGAATACAGTTTATTTTATGTTTGTCCGTACTCTCATCATGTGGTAAGTCGTTACTGGACTTTGGAATTGAAAACAGAGTTTAACGTTTTAAACTACTGCATTGCAGTAATTGCATGCATTTCGTGAAAAAAAGAGAAGGGTGTGTCAGCGTTTTGGAAGGAGAAAACAGGACGTAAATGTTAGCTTTACACAAAGTACACATGTAATGCAATATTTGGTTGGGGATGCGATTTTGTCGGACTAAATAGGTGACAGACCTTAGCCCCATAAATGTGGCCTTTTTACTGGACTGCCTACGTAAACATAGGCCACACATCCACATGTACAAAAACGTGTCGCACTTTGCCAAATTTTGATTTTCACATTTAGGCTTAGTTTGTAGGGTTTTTTTGCTTTAGAAGCATACTCACCCTCTTTATAGGCTAATCAGAAAGTGCTGCCTTTGTTAGATGTCAATTTTTTTGTGAAATTTCCAGATTCATTTGCACACGTTTGCGTATCAAAATTTCAACATGAAATTTCACAAAAATTAGCCATCTGAAAAAGGCAGCACTTTCTGATTAGCCTATAAAGAGGGTGAGTATGCTTCTAAAGCAAAAAAACCTACAAACTAAGCCTAAATGAGAAAATCAAAATTTGGCAAAGTGCGACACGTTTTTGTACATGTGGATGTGTGGCCTATGTTTACGGAGGCAGTCCAGTAAATAGGCCACATTTATGGGGCTAGACAGACCTATGAGCAATGTTATTAATGATTAGGCGTCGGACTTACAATGTATGAGCAGACCCTGTGTTTTTATCACTGCGGGAGCTAATCGTGATTGCATGAAGGGAACTTGTAAGGCAACGCCAACGGTGGTTTCTTTTTGAAAATAGCAAATGTAAGAAGACAAAACACAATTTTAATAAATACAAGCATTTTTGACGTAAAAAGGTTGTTGAGAGGCGTTTCGTCAGTTCGTGAAGACAAAAAAGAAAACAGGATTTTTTGTGTAACTTGCCGTAAAAATGGGGTACATGTAGCCTTGGTCGGGTAACGGCAAGCAGAAGTAATTTTTGGGGGCCTTAGGCGAATAGGCCTACCCTTTTCAAATGGTGTTTACGAAAGGCGACAGTTGCCATTGTTTCGCATGCCTCAGTTGTCAACCAAATTGTATGGTTCTTGGACCAGAATCCTCCAGAGTCATAAATTAGAAAGAAAAATCAAATCTACATTAAAAAAGTTGGATTTGATTGAAAACAATGAAAGTAAGAAAATAAATATTTTGGGAAACTAAGGAAGAAAGTTTTCTCCAAGGTTCCAACCCAGCACCTTCAGCACTCAAAGCACTCACTCGCTGCAGGAATTTAAAACCACAGAAAGATTTACAATGTTAGTTGGCAATTTTGCGTAACTATAGGCCTACCTGTTGAAAAAGCCAGTTAAGGCTTCTGTGAAAATAGCCACTTTGTTTTGCCAAATTAGTCTACAATGATTGACCATCAATAATTTGAGGTTATGTGTAGCTCATTAATACGGGTACAAAACCTGTGGAATTATTCCACATTAGAAAAAGTGTGTAAACAATTATCTTTACATTAAAAATGTTCTCCATACATGTAGTTGTGGCACAGATCAGCATTCAACCACTGACAGACCTAACCGTCAATGAGGGAAACACAGTCCTGCTTGACTGTGCTCTGCGAAACATCCCAGGCAACCCAGACGACATTCTTCTCATCTTGTATCATGACGGCAAAGCAATCGTCGTCAACAAGCAACTGGCTGTTAACAATCCCAACTATCTACTGGATACGAGTGTGGTTGGTCACTGGAAGCTGACGATACAGGAAGCACAGATTGAGGATCAGGGAACATGGAGCTGTCAGGTGCAACTGCCTAACGAGGTGTCACAGCAAATGAGGCTGGTGGTACTCGGTAAATATATCAGGACATAACTTTCAACATCATAAAAAGTTGGAAGGTCTGATGTTTCCATCCTTGAAGTATATACAATGTATCTCCTGGGATCAAAGTGTCAGGCCCTAGGTGTCTTAGTTAAACAGTTTGCAAAGCTGTTCATCTACATTTACTATCGATATCATCATGTTTGTTGGCAGTCACGGTGATACATGTATTTAGGAATTTAGGTTCTAATTCTGCGTCAGCCATTTTTCTTTTGTATCAACATTTTGCTCCCATAATTTTCAGCAAGTCTCTGGTTGATTCATTTGTGATGTTGAAGCAGAACATACTGTTATTTTAATTACTAACTTAAACTCTCCTCCCATTTTTGTCCATTTCAGCTGCACCTGTTATAACCTCAGTTACACCAGACATGGCCCCAATGCCAGGCTCTATGGTCACTCTTTGGTGTAATGCCACCGGTAGTCCAGAGCCATCGGTCACTTGGACTCGTCAGCGACCGGCCGGCAATCTTCCGTCTGGTGTGGAGTTTGTGACTGGTAACCCGCTGGTTATCAGTGATATCACCAATGATTGGAGGGGGTTGTATCAATGCTTTGTGACTAACGGGATCGGACAAGGAGCGGTCACTGCACCTGTCTTCTTGCAGATGGAGTGTAAGTCAAGAAATCAGGAAAAAATTGCCAAATTTCTAACTGGCATGTCAGACCCAGACTGGACCAAAGAGCGCCAAGGGTGACCCATCAGGTTGTTTCATATAGAGTGTGGCTTCAGACATGATGACAGAGGCCTTACTTTGCCATTGAGTGGGCGTGTGAAATCTTTCCTTCGTGTAATTCAGTCAAACATAAAACTAAAACAAGTTTCTAATCAGATTGTGCTAGGCATGACTCATGGAAGCCAATCTGAAATGAGAGCCTTAATCTTAATGCCTACTGTACCGGGAACATGTTCCTGTGGTCTTTCTCTTACAGGTTGATGACTATTAGGAATAGATGAAATGTACTCTAGAGCACTGAAACATTAGTAGTTTTCTTAGTGACTGTTTGTTATAAAAGTGAACAGAGAACCACAAAAGAGACATTAACCCAACAGAACTCAACCCATCAAACCCCAACAGCATGTTTTGTTGGAATCTGTCAGGATGGGTACAGTACCCCTAAACTGACAGTCTTTTACATTGGGTTGGCACACCTCCAGAATGTAAGTCAGAAATATGTGTGTGCAGTTCCCATATGGTGTTGGAATTTGCCAGGATGGGTATGGTTCCTAGTAAATCATGCTAGGGAGTTAGGGTTACAGAACTGTAGCAAACGAAGACTAAACTTGCATAATCTTGCATAGTGAACTTTGTGGCCCTGAAAGTCAGTGACTCAGTCAGTGACTTACTTAGTTACAGGACATCAGACTGGCCTCTCATGTTCATCTGAAACGTTACTGAAATGAAAATCTGCTGTTTGCTGCTACATTAGATCAAAAGGCACATTTCAAGAATCCAAGTCAAAAGTACTTTTTCATAGGCCCTACCAATGGACTTTGTATACTCGGACCTTATTTAAGGTGGACACATCAATCAACTAAAACGCATCGGTTACACCTGTTTCTATCTGTGATGGTTTTAGATTCCCCCATAGTGAGAGCTTTAAATGAGTTAGTTGCTGCTCCCATCGGAGACTCTGCCCAGCTACAGTGCATCGGTGAATCCTTCCCAGCTGTCAAGATTGTAGACAACGTCCAGTGGTTCAAAGATGATCGTCTTGTGGGGTGAGTACATGTCAATATTTCCTTTGCTGCTTTCCTTTCAAAGTGCCGTACTGGTGTCTATCCTCCCATGTTTACAGCAAGCGTTAAATCCATGTAACGTTTCTTTTGTATGGACTTGAAGTGCAAAACAAATCCATGTTTGGTTTGAAGCCAGAAAGTCACCCCAGGTCGTGAAGCAGCTTGACCAATACTGTAACCTTGGCAACAGCAGTAATGGAGGGTATCAATCTTTGGTTTGGATTACCATGGAAACATCTGATTGAGAAATGATTGGAAAGAGGAGGGTTCTTAAAAATGAAAAATACTGGAATCAGCCAACATTGATTAGGCTCTGACTACAAAAAGTTGACAGATAAACAAAATTGTAACCTCAAAAGTACACATTGTCTTCTCACTTAACTATAGGAGAAAAATCAGGTGTCGTTTTGCTGTGTACGCTTGATCATTCTGCATTGATGCCACAGGTTTCCATTCAGCTGAAATTGCTCACAGACACGTTTTATTTTGCACTTTTTGAAGCCGTGTGTACATGTACATGCCTGAGTCCTTCTTTGTGCTTGTGCACGTGATAGGCCACACATCCAAAGTCAGTGATGCAGTGGAGGTACTTAAGACAGATCACATACATCACAGTGTGATCACAAGTAAAAGATGAACATCGGAAAACAATAACAAAGGAATGCACTTGTTACAGTTTATTTGAATAACTTGTGAGTTGACTTGGAATTGGATGACTCATGATTGACATGTGAGGTCTTGTGATCCATGGATCACCCTGACAATGAACTGTCTAAGGTTCCTGTGCAGAGTTCATAATGTAACTGTTCAGAGATGAAACTTTTCCGATTTTAATTGGAAATCGACTTTTTGACTTTTCAAACGAATATCCGATTTTTGTACGATTTTCCACAATATGTGATTTTATTTAAACTTTAATTTCGAAGAAAAGCCGATGAAAAAGTTGATAAAAATTATCGCGAGTGTAGTTTTAATCTCTTTCACCAGTCGTAAACGGAGTGTTTCTACCGTAGAAACACCTACAGTAGGCCAGCACTGATCGGAAGCTTTTCCGGCTGGATAGAAGGTTAAACATTGACCTGTGACATGGAAAAATCACTGCGTCACACGGACAGTGTGTGGTGCATGCCTGCACACTAGCATATGCGTTAGCACATGGCCGACCGGGTATGGGTAACCACAATGGATAAATCCAACTTGTGGGATTTTTGGAGGTTTTGGATTTAGTTGGTCAAAATGCAATGCTTTAAAAATCAGAATGGTTATCTTGGCGATGCTGAAGAGAGCATACAGTGTACATGTAAGCGATACATTTCACTGGCAGTTGGAAGAGAAAGTCGATAATGCCCGATTTTTCTCAAGCACGTTAGTGGAGTTTTGGTTGAATCATGGAGGAATAAGAATCGTGGACATGATCGAATGGTGTCATGAATGGTGTCCTTGTCTTTCAGATTTTTTCCTCAATTTTCTCAAGTAAGAAGTGAACTTCTTAGTAGATGACCTTGTTGCTCTAACCTTAATTTAAGCATTCTAATTTTATGAAAACACTGAAGATTTTTCTCATTGTAAAATTTACAGGAGGCAGTGTCCGGAAATTGAGCATGAAGTGTATTGTACATAAATGTGTGTACATGTGTATGTGTAACTGCAGAGCGGCCCAGATTTCGGACACATATTTTTGTTCGGCCTATTTTCTGAATTTTCCCCCCCCCCATATGTCAGTTTCATCTCTGAACTGTTGTGACTGTTTCTTGCAGTGCTAGTGATGGTTATCAGATGAGTGTATCTCTAGATATGGACATGGATCCCTACAGAGAGACCTCTATTGCTACACTCATAGTCACAGCAGTCAGTAATCAGAATGTTGGCAAGTACACCTGTCGGTTGCAGAACTTACTGGGATCTGCTCAGGCTGACGTAAGGCTTGAAGGTATGACACACTTTGAAAGCTCAGAATACAGGGGTGTGAAATCTCAGCTTTAAAGCTGATTTCAGCTTTTTTGTTTTGGATATCAGCTCTTTTCCCTCACTTGCTGTGTGCAAAAGTATAGGAGATTTCCAAAGTTCAGCTATTTAACACCTTTTCCAGCCATTTTCAGCTATTTTTATTAGTGGTTACTCACACCCCTGAGAATACTTGAACACTTTGTACACTGCATGTAACTTTGTACCAGTAATGGTCTTTTTGTATGGATCTAAGGCTGGGTCCAAATGACTTGGCTATGGCCAGCTGTAACATTCTGATCAAAATAAGTACAGAAATCAAACAAAGCAACAGAGTCCAAGGTTAGGACTGCACTGGAGTGGGTGAATAACTTTATCCCCCATTTTGATTTACTGACTTAAAGTCTACCATTGTTGTTGTTGATACAGAAACTGGGATTAACCCCTTAAGGACGGGGTGTAATGGGGACATTCCTCCACACATAGAGCAAGTGGCCCGCATGACTGCACAGCCTTTGTGTGGTAGCGGGACTGCACAAAAGCAGCAGCTGTGGAACTACCCACTAGCCGTGTGCCACGGCATACCACAGCTCGCAACTGCATTCCAATGAGGATTAGCGGCCGCGGCCATGACCGCTTCCCATACCATGGGGTTAAGACTTATCTAAACTGTATACCTCACACAATATAACAGAGAACCTTGATAATCAGTTGATGTTTCTTCTTTTTTTCTCTTTCCATTCTTGTCCGTTCTTACAACTAGTTGGCAAGCAGATTGACCCAGGTATGTATACCCTAGACTCTTGACAAATTGGTTCAACCCTAATCCGCCTCAATCTTGGTTCAACCCTAATCCGCCTCAATCTTGGTTCAACCCTAATCCGCCTCAATCTTGGTTCAACCCTAATCCGCCTTAATCTTCCTAAATCAACCGGGCTGTTTTGGAGGATTTCAGAGGATTGAGGCTGAATTGAACAAATTGTCGGTTGATTTTGGAGGATGCATTGTGTCAAGGTCTTAAGCTGTTCCCTTGTTTATGTTTAGCCAGGCACAACAGTATGCACTGCTTCAGTGGATCAACAGTGATTATTGAATGATTTTGAAGGATTGGGAATGGATCGTAGCAAAAGGTCTTGGGTTAAAATGATTAGGAAAATTCTTCAGACAGCAAGACTTACTGGAATGCTTGTGCAACTCCAAGTTGCCAGGTCAGTTAGAATCGCTGTAGTGACTCTATGATGTTGAGGGAATCAGTTCCTTCACCAATGATTCCAGACACTCCAAACAAATTTCCTGACGTATGCAAATGATAAAGTTGAAGAGTGGGATTATTCAGAGTGGTCCCTAAACAACGGAAGGGCATACTTGCACTGCCTTGAGCCTCAAACCATCTGTTTCAATTAACGGAGAATCCTTTTCAAAGAATTATGATACCGAAATCTCCCGATTCGATCCAGTAATTTTTGCTGCAGAGCCTATTTTGTGAAGCATACTTCTTTCATGTGGGTATTATTACTTAACAATCCCTAATTCAATCACATTGTAAGTTAAATTCCTGGGGGCAGTTTAGTAGTTCATCAGGACAAAAACGACCCCCACCTTGCTTCACAAAATAGACTCTAGAACAAAAACTACTGGACCGAATCGGGCAATCTTGGTTTCATTTTTCTTCTAAAAAGATTCTGCATGCATTGGTATTTGTGGTTTGAGTCTCGGGGTAATGGAAATGTGCCATTCCGGGGGTTTTTACCACCCTGTATAATGACTTTTCCTTAAGTGAATCAAAACCTAATGAAGGGCCAGTAACCAAGCTGTTGTAATACACTTGTTGTGATTTGATTTTGGCTTTACTCTCAGTTTGTTGAACCACGTCATGCTTCAACAACAGTTTTAAGTCATAAGAATCACACGAGAAATACTCTTTTTTCCATAGAAACTGGTGCGTCAAGAAGCAAGGCCTCAAATGTCATGGCTGCTATGGCAACCATTATGGCTGCCATCTTCATGGCAACAGTTCTGGTGAAGTTCTGAGGAAGCAGGGTCGCCGAGGTAACGGAATGTGTGAGGGTGAAATTGACCAATTAATGCAAAAGTACTCTAACCTACTAAGCAATATTTATACACATAGATGCCTTATATATTCATTATTGCACTACAGTTTTATATTTTTTAATAATTACTAAGACGGCTTAATGAAAACGATAGCTTGGAAGCTGATAGTATTGCCATGTTGTGATGAGATTGCCATGTAGTGAAAGAGAGAGATTTGACAGACACTTGAAGCAAACAAAGCTGTGTGCCTGCTGCCCATGTCAAGACATCCTAAAGGCTTGTCCATGGTCACATCAAACATGTCTTTTATGCCATACACACGGGAACCATTGTGCACAAGCTGTGTGTCCCATAAACTCAAGCTCTTGTGAGTATGCCATGCATTAAAGCTTCAAACTATTGAAAGAGTCCTTGATCAATTGGACCCAAAATGCTTACCTCTGATTTTAACAGTTCTAATGTTTACGTAGCGCTTTCCATCGTATCAACAATCTCAAAGCAACAATTATTCCCCCTGTTCATCAGGCAATGAGACTACGTGGCAGTCGATATCAGCGCACAGTCGGTCCTCTACCCTCACTGGTACCCATTCGTACTCCTGGGTGGAGAGAGGCAATTGTAGCTCAGTGTCTTGCCCACGAGCACAAACACCATGTTTCTGGCAGGGTTCGAACTCACGCACTATCGTACATGTACATAGACAAACACCGTAACCACTGGACCATGGCATTCTACATTTTATACAACGCACTCAGGATGGGCATAGGAGATGCAATATGATTGGTAACATAAGGATGACAACAGCTCCCAATAGAAAGTGTATTATGTATCATTTCTACATGTACAAGATAACATTAACATTGTTTACACTGAGTAGCACTCAGTGCATGGGAATCCAGTACATAGCAGCAATGGCATCCAACTGCCTGTCAAATCTCAATCTGTGTCATTATTAATGGGGAGGATATTTGTGCATGGAGTTCTTAGGTGTGTGAAACAAGCCAACATGTAGAGCTTGCAAAATCTGTTGAGTTTCTGAGCCCCGGATGGGGCACGGGGAACAAATCAAAGTTGAAATAGGAAGGGAAACTCAAGGGAGGGTTGTATGGGCTCCGTGTAGGAACAAGAGAGGGCAGTATTTACCACTTTCAAGACCCCCGTAGATGGGACACACCGAGTGAATGTACTGGTAGCGTCGTGTATAGCACAAAGTACGCATGACTACTTGTCTTCTGCATGTGCGTGAGCGTCAGGCATTGCTGTGTCTCCCAATGGTTTTCCTCATCTCTCCCTTTCTTACTTGTGCAAGGAGCCCATATGTAGACCAACACTGCCGGCTGTTAAAGGGAATAATTATACAACATTTGCAAACATTGAAAAAAACAAAACTACAACATTTTTACAAAATACCTTACAAGGATGTTGGTAAATGACAGTTTAAAGCATCTTATAAAATTATGGCACCTGGTGTGAAGTCATTTTCAAGAAAAGTGGTATTTTGTATAAATTTCCAACAGTGGTCAGTCGACCACCGTTGGAAAAACCTTACTATTTTTCAACTTCTGCTCCAAATTTAACATTTTTTTTTCAGTCCAAATTTTGTTTGCTATGGGTTACACGTCATGAACGGGTGCAGACTGGTTCCCATACTTTACAATTTTCCGGCATCCATAAATTGATCCAGTTTATCTTTAGTGGAGTCAGGGAACCAGACTACTTGAAGATTTTTGGTTTTCTTGGTTTTTCCAGTATTTTCAAACACAAAATTTCAAATATGTCAGTGTAACAATATTTGATCTATTATACTAACCCCACATATAGTTCATGTCTGAAAATGACAGCAAAAGCCAATGATGTACATTCCCTTGAATGGAGTGTGAGAGTGAAATGCAAAGTGGAATGTTGCATCACAGAGTACAAAGCAAATGCTTAATTAAATGTCACTTTGCTTTATTGAAAAATGTTGGTTGATGAAGGACATAATAACTGCCATAGTAAACTCGCTTTTAAATGTAAATTTGCACCGAGAAGTTCAACCAGATCTTGTAAACACCCCATGGAAATCAAGGTCAATAACATGTACGTGAAAAAGTTCAGTAGGTTTGAAATATTATATATCCAGGTGCCAAAAAATGATTGTCTTCATAATTTTTTTGAGGATTTTGTGAAAAAAACGTTTTACAATTTTGTACTTTTGGAATTGCAGGGAGTTTTTTCCTTGAACATTTTGGATTCATTTCAAGGATTTTTAAGAAAAAAAACTATTTGGGTTTTTAGGGCGTTTCCCTTTTGTGTTTTCAAGTTCATTTTTTCCCACTTGTGTTCTATAGTTATGTTTAATATTATCACATTTTTGGCACAAATACCATAGTCATGAAGAAGTGTAATCCTATATACATGTACATGTATATTTTTTCAAGTTTGAATATTTGCTCATAGTACTATAACATCCAAGCCTAGAAAGTTTTATTGTGTATATATTGAGCTGCTTTCAGATTTTTATTAACCTGAGTCTACCAAAGATATTATTCATGCCTTTGTGTTCAGATAACGATGTTTTCAAGTGTACTTCATGTATTTGTTATTTTATTCTTAAGGGAAACTAATCATGTTTAAAATAATCTAAGTTTACGCTGATTACAACATAACGATATTCCTTCCAAATTCTTGATAATTCAATGTTAACATTCAACAAAATGGCATTCCAAACTACAGTGATAGATGCATTCTGAAATATGTTGTAAAAGTAGAGAAAGCAAAAAGTACTAGAGAATTTTGTATTGCTTGCTCTTATTTTGTATTCTTTGAAGAAAAAAGGAAATTTGTTCTTGAAAGTTGATGCTAATCTTTAAAATAAGCAGAAAAGTATGTATTTTCTGTACATAAAGTGAACTAAAAAAAAAAATCTAGTCATGAACAGTATACCGTACATGTACTTTTGTAACTGCAGTAGTACATGTCGTCATACTGTCATCATTTGTAACATTTGACTAACAAACGTTGGAGTTCTGGTATGTTCATTCTGGGCAATTTTTTATGCAAATGTTGCATGTGTTTTGCATATTCATGAGCACAGTAGTGATGTGATCAAGAGAACAGCTTCTGACAATTGTTTGTGTGTCGGGAAATAGCAGGACTAAAAGAGAGGTATTTTTTTTAATCCCAAAAATGCAACTACAGTGTAAACTGCGTTTTGTGTTCTTTTTTTTCTTTTTTTTATAAATGGACATGGAGGTCTCAATTTAGTTAAATTTTTAAATGCCGCTGAAATATGCCACTGAAATGAGCCGCTGAAATGTTTTTCTTCAAAACATGTGTCTGACCATAGCAAACCCAGTTGATGTCATTAGAGGACACATCAAGCTTATTCTATAACTCCATTTAACTGTCAAACTTTTCTTTGCACAAAAGTATACTTTTTCCCAGTTTCAGGTACTACAACTGTACATTGTCGGTCGTATCACGAAGTCACTTTGTGGTGCACCTGACGACATACATGTGTTTGTGAAAGGTGCAATCGGTTGTACAACATTTCCCAAACCAGGTACATCCCTGTACTTAAGACCAGGGCCCAATTGCATGGATCTGCTTACCGGGTTTACGGTTAGTATAATAACTAGCGAGAAATGTTGGCTTCTGCGCATGTGCACATCCTGTTACTAAGGATTCTATGCTTACAGCTTTAGCACAGATTTGGGGGTTTTTTGCTAGCGTTGTTAGCACAGACATGACAGAATGGTGATCGTAAACGTGGAATCTGTGGTTAACAGAGTTATGGAATTGAGCCCAGTTTGGGGATTGGGAGTCACTTTAATTTTCAAGAAGAGATATTGAAGGGATGTATTCAGGGTATTGCTGTAAAAATGGCAAGTGCAAAATTGTACTGAGACAGATCAAGTGAAACTGAAATGATGGTTCACTAATAAGACATGAGATGTGTGACAAGAAACAGTCAGTAGTACTGGCCTTCAACTCAATTTGGTTTGTTTGCAAAATCAAGTCTTTTAGTTCCTTTTATTTGAAACATTGTAAAATTACAATTACATTAATGTGTATTCTCATTCTTGTTTGGTGCTTCAAAATCAGAAAAGGTCAAGATTTTGTTCATATTTGTTTGCTTAAATTAGTGAGGAATTTATTGTACTTTTAGAGGGGATTATTTATTAGATGTGCATTATTAACTCTTACTACCACCTGAGGCTATATGCCAATAACCTTCAGGAATCTGCCAACATCCAACAATGCACATTGAATTCAGGGACACAATCTTCAGGCATGCAACTTTTCCTCGGATCCGCTGATTTCCTGGTTTTTTACTCCTCATGAATGCCTTACAAATTGAAAAATACTGTACAAAGCCTTGTGTGGTTTGGAATTGCCACGTTTTTTGTGTGTGCTAAATTCCTGTTTGCATGCCTGAATCTTTGTACAAGTACTGTGATCATTTTAGAATCATGGTGTCTGGACTCTGATGGTCTGGTAACCATCAAAATCATAAAAAACCTAGAGTGTTGGAGTTATATACCGTGTACAATTTGAGACATACATTGTACATGTAGGGGTACCTCTATTGTCCCTATACCCTAAACAAACTAGACTATTGTTACCTAACACGTCCCCCTATCTCAAAGGAAGAACCCAATGACCAATGCAATGGGAAGGGGGGGGGGGGGCAGTTGCATATCTTACTTCAAATGTGGATTTTGGCAGATTCCGGAGTTTTAATATTATGTACACATGTAAGTTGAGCCCACTCGATGGACATGTAGAGTTTAAGTACTGCTCTTAACCTGCTCAATAAGCAGCTGTAGTTTTGTATGCATTGCAGGCAATATCTATGCGCATAGCTTTTTTAATGAATAATTGTGTTAACAAATCTGTATGTGATTAAAAAATAAAGAAATCAATAATAAAGAAATCCCAGAGTTGTTAGGAAATTCTTTAGATGTTTTCTCATCAGTCAGCATTCAAACACCCAATATTTTAAAGATTTTGGCCAAAATCACCAATTTTTGGAGAAAAAAAATATCATTTTATATAGTTTTTACCACAAACCTTTGTCAAAATATCCTTTTTAAAAGCGAATCTGTCTGGAAATCAAATTAGAATGTGTTGTAGGGTCCTTAAGGCATCTTTCCAGCAAATTTCAAGCAATTTCATTATTTGGCCAAAGTTAAAGAAAAACACAAGGGGTTAGCCTCACTTTTTTTACGAAATTTGGCCAAAAAATGACTTTTCTTCAAACCATGCAGGAATAATTTTAAAGGTGAGAGGAGCATCAATCAGCATGCAAACACCGAATATTTCAAGGATTTCGGCCAAAATCGTCAATTTTGGAGACAAAACTTATATTTTATGTTGTTTTTACTGCAAACTTTTGTCCAAATATCCTTTTTAAAAGCTGATCTGTCCAGAAATCAAATTCAAATGTGTTGTAGGGTCCTGTAGCCATCTTTCCAGCAAATTTCAAGCAATTTCATTTTTTGGCCAAAATTGAAAAAAACACAAGGGGTTAGCCTTACTTTTTCTATGAAATTTGGCCCAAAATGACTTTTCGCCAAACTTTGCAGAAATACTTCTAAAGGTAAGAGGAGCATCAATCAGCATTCAAACACCTTATATCTTAAAGATTTTGGCCCAAATCATCAATTTTTGGAATTTTTTTTTTGGTATTTTCACCGCAAACTTTTGTCGAATTATCCTTTTTAAAAGCTGATCTGTCCAGAAATCAAATTCGAATGTGTTGTAGGGTCCTGTAGCCATCTTTCCAAAAAATTTCAAGCAACTTCATTTTTTGGCCAAAATTGAAAAAAAAACACAAGGGGTTAGCCTTACTTTTTTCATGAAATTTGGCCCAAAAATGACTTTTCGCCAAACTTTGCAGAAATACTTCTAAAGGTAAGAGGAGCATCAATCAGCATTCAAACACCCAATATTTTAAAGATTTTTTGCCAAAATCATCAATTTTTGGAAAAGAAATTTTATAAATTTTATATTGTTTTTACAGCACACTTTTGTCCAAATATCCTTTTTAAAAGCTGATCTGTCCAGAAATCGAATTGGAATGTGTTCTAGGGTCCTTTAGCATCAATGTTTAGCATCGAATGTGTTGTAGGGTCCTGTAGCCATCTTTCCAGCAAATTTCAAGCAATTTCATTTTTTGGCCAAAATTGAAAAAAAAACACAAGGGGTTAGCCTTACTTTTTCTATGAAATTTGGCCCAAAAATAACTTTTCGCCAAACTTTGCAGAAATACTTCTAAAGGTAAGAGGAGCATCAATCAGCATTCAAACACCCAATATTTTAAAGATTTTTTGCCAAAATCATCGATTTTAGGAAAAGAAATTTTATAAATATTATATTGTTTTTACAGCACACTTTTGTCCAAATATCCTTTTTAAAAGCTGATCTGTCCAGAAATCGAATTGGAATGTGTTCTAGGGTCCTTTAGCCATCTATCCAGCAAATTTCAAGCAAATTTCATTTTTTGGCAAAAATTTGAAAAAGACAAAGTGTTAACCTTACTTTTTTCATGAAATTTGGACCAAAAATTACTTTTTGCCAAACTTTGCAGAAACATTTTAAAGGTAAGAGGCCAGTCTCAGATGACAATAAAACACCAGTGATGGTTTCTGCAAAAGCTTGTTCTTGTTTTAGTCACTTGATTTGTTCATTTGAATTATCTATTTGGTTTCTAACTGCTATAAATGTTGAAAAACAAAAGAAGTTAATGCTTTCGTGTTTGACGTTTTCCCTTGTGGGGCCACATTTAGATTCCCTAAAACCAATGTTACAAATTGCTTGTTATCAGTATTAGATTAAACCTTTTGGAAAAAAAAATCAGTTAAAATGAAGAACAAAAACAGACAGTTGTGCTAAACTCCATGTAGGCAGCAATAAACACAACACACAAAGAATGCATACACATCACATGTAATTTTTCAACATCAATGGAGCATACCATTTTTTATATCCAATAAGTCTCCGCAATATACTCATTTACAAATACTATACTCTTCAAATATCATTTCAATGGTTTGTCATGACAATTAAAAAATAACAGGATAAAGATTGAAGTCAATAAGTACAGTTTTTGTCACAAGTAGCTACTACCGGTAGGTACTAAATTGGGCAGACTGAGACTGATGATGTAGAAGTTTTAGTTCATGGTTTCAAAGATTTGGGGAAATCCACACAGGGATGTAAGTGGGATCTGACATTTTAGCCTGAAATTTGAAGTGTAAAGAAAAATGTACATCCATGTATGGTGTCAAGATGTTACAATTTGAAAAAATGACCTAAAATCAGGCAACTGCAGGATTTGCACCCCTAGTACAGGAGAAACCAAACAAAGCTTGGGCAAAATTGGATTTTTCTTCAATGTCATTAACAAAAGCGTTTTGATATCCCAGGTCTGGCCCACTTTGGGATGAATTATCAGAGGAAGTTTTAGACAGCTTCGCTTCATCGCTGGCTTCATCCCTGGTACGATTATTTAGATTTTTTTAAATATCCCAATTGAATAGAAATACTCCAAATGTCGGCTTCCTTTGTAAAGCACAGCGTGGACCTACAGTGAATACTGGGCCAGAATTTCCCACGTAAGGGGTGTAAATTCTGACTAAGCCGAAGAAAAAGAAAAGGTTTAGAAATTCCCCCAAGAACAATACAACTTCCTCCGAGTACCTTTTATAATGCATTTTTCTACCATGCCTCTGATCAGCCTAGTTCGTCTTCCAATGCAATTAATCTTAGTCCCAAAGCCTACGCTGAGATCTATTCAGGCTGGTTTCATGGCGCTACTAGTAAGAAGAAACACTGGTTACCAGCTAAAATGCCATCTGTAGCTTTGTTATTTGCTACTGACTGGTTTTCTGCTCAGCCTTTGCCGAGCAGTGTGTTCCTCTAAGGGCTTGTCTCAAGTCATATCCAGCTTGAGTTCTGGACAAGTTGTGGGTAGAATCATTCACTTAGCCCGGAAGAAGCTCCGCTTTTGTCCCAGACATGTCCGGGGAAATTGTTATGATGAGTAACTGCTTGACTCACCAATACTCATTACTGATAACATCATTGTGGGAAGATTGCAGGGAAAATTGTTCTGAATCCTGCAACTTATACCAATACAATGCCCACAACTTGTCAGGAACTCGTTACGGATACAATTTGAGACAGGCCCTGCAGCTCCATAATAATTTGGCCTTGGTGACACAACGGCAAGTTAGACATTTAGTGCTAAGCATAGTTATCTAGGCTAAGCACCTAACGGTTCAAGGAGGCATCTACTTTATAGTGAATACTGATTGCTGGATGCTTACTACACTTATTTGCACGAAGTTGCAATAGGCATTACGTGATCGACTGAGGGCGCTTTAACACAGACATGGACATTAAGACAAACTCCTTTACCAAAGAAATTGTACATCTCTAGAACTAATACTTCAATAAAAGATTTGATAGTTAAAATATACATTTCAGCAAAACTACCCCAAGTGTGAGTTTATTTTAGGCGTATACTCTGATATTTAAATTGGAAACAGCGCCCTCAAGTGGTCAGGAAGATACCCATTAAACATGATGTAACTTTGAATGAGCATTCATTTGCTATCTAGTGCACCCAGCTGTCTATTAACCAAAGGCAATGTGTAACATAGCCTGTACTCCATACTCCTATGAAATAAGCCTTGAAGTCTACTGGCATGGAGAAGTGCTAAAGGGCTTCTAATGATATGGTATTCAAGCTATCTTGGAGAGTGTACACATTGGATATTTTGGCCAGATGGGTGCGAACATGATAGCAAAGCATGCCCAGCAAAAATGACTTCATAACTTGGACAGATTATTCACCACACATTCTCTCTATGCACATCACTATAGTCATACATGTTACAGCACATTACACTAGCTGCAGCAGCACATAAAGAGCGATCTTTCCTTTCACAGAAAGCAAAGGGAATCAGTGAATTCATGTTAGTTGTTCAAGGATAACAGGCCAAAATGCTCAAACATCAATGGAAGCAAATAGCTGCGTATATGTTAAGCTTTTGTTAAAATTTGTGTCGAACTAATTGCAACTTGGTGTCATCTCGGAATGGCACCTGTTACACGTCGAGAGCTGATATTTGTCAGTGTTTTGGGGATTTGTCATCCTTTTTCTTTCTTTTTTCTTCAACGAAAAAACAATGATTGCAAAGACAAAGTGTTAAGAAAATAGGAAACTTTTAAAAATTTGTTGAACTGTAATACTGTGCATTTGTAAGAAAATAGTGTTAAAAGAAAACAAAAACCAAAAAAGAAAGTTTTTGGAGACTGGGAAAGCTACACCAATGTTAAATGACAATCTGAATGCAGTGCAATTCACACTGCACCTTATTTCCATGGTAATGATTTGTACCATAGCAACCAACACCAACATGATACATGTACATGGACTAACATGAACCCACTGATATCCTCATCATTAAGTTTACACATACATATATAGAAGTATTTCAGATTTAAGCATTATTTGTCAAGAAGTACGCATACAAAGACAAGATCACATACAGTAACAATGTCTACACACAAAATTAAGAAGAAAAAACGGTCAACAATTTTTTACCGACTGACATTTTTCAATGATGGTATCCACCAAGCATTTTGGTTTGTACATCCACTGCATAAAAGTGGTCAGAAATAAATAGTAGAAAACAACGGCACAGTATTCTGGATTTTTGTTTTGTTTTTACATAAAAGCCGTCGGGTAAAATGTATGAATACGTAATAGTAATTACAATCTGTACATTGTATTGCCTTCATATATATACATAAAATATAGTGAATATTATAATACGGACTTATGGGCTGACCTTTGACATAAATTAGCATATCATCTGACCTCCAGGTCACCACAGACCTGATTTGTCTTGATCAATAATGTCCATGTTGACAAGCGACATGTTCTAGCACAATTTTGGAAGTTACTAACAAATTATTCAGATTTCAACATCTCAACATACAGCTGAAATCGATCACTTTGAATCCATGATTTTGCATTATTCCACGTTTTTATTTACATTGAGGTACCAAAAATAATGAGCTGAAATATTGACATTTAACTCTGATTAAGTACAAATTTTACTGCACTTCGGGAATAGCTACATTGTAAGATGCTTACAAATGGATATGCAATTCAGGTGCAGCTTTAGAAGCACTTGAAGCTGTGACTACAAACAACCCTAGCTTTATAAACTCAGCTACTGTCTTCAGCATATGACACCACATTCACCTATAGAAGCATATGAAGTATTTATTTCCAAAATGCGTCGTATCCATTTGATAAAGGTGAACATTTGCACGGTTATGAACCTTAAAGAATAAAAAAAAATTGTAAATGCTGTTTCTAAATGTAATTTTGTAAAATGTATTTTTGTAAATGCAAAGTTGTGTTTAAGCATATAACAGCCATCAAAGTTGCATTTGGACGGCCAGGAGAGACATCAGGATTGTAAAAGGGAACAAAATGGCACATATTGCGTTTTGGAAATAATCTCTTCATTATGTTGCTACCATCACCATGATCACTAGCAACGGGGCCTAGTTTCCAAATGACTCAATGAACTTTTCAGCCAAGTGTTTAGTCTCTTTTCCAGTCACCAAATAAATACCTCTCTGATATCCACATGGGATCAGCCTCTTAATGAAGTCTAACAGAACTTGCTAACCTAATATAAGCAGTAAGCACAGACCATCCCCCACTCAACCACTTGCAAATGAATTGGGCTCAATCACGCTTAGCACAGATTTCTGTTAAGCATATTTGCTTGTTCTGGCGCTTATACAATTTTGTTTAGGAAGCCTCGCTTAAAAATTACAATAAAATTTACATTTAAATATTCAATGGCAGTATTTTTAAAATCACAATGGCAGTGTTTCGGTCAACAAAGGAAGAAATTAATTACATTCATGAGCATGAGCACAAGTAATTTAAATCCCATTGATTCATTTATAAGAGGAATATTTTCAAAAGCAAACAAAATGCAAACATTATTTTGTGCGTGATTTACAAAAATACAATCCGTGCGTTTAACTAAGGGTGCAAAATGAATGCAAATTAACAACAAGGCACAAAAAGCATTCTTCTATTGGAGGGATGGTTAGAAAACTTTGATTTGCATATTCAAAACAGCTGCTGCATATTCATGTTTATTGTATATGTTTGAAACAATGAGGTGGCATAAGGAAGAGTGTACTTGTGTACAGAATATATTTAAAGCAGCTGCTGCATATTCAGGAGGGCTTGTTTGTTTTTGGAAGTGAATGGATGAATGGAAGATTTTGATTTGCATATGCAAATCAGCTGCTGCATATTCATGATGATTTGACAGCATACCATAACAATAAGCTATCAAATGTAATGGAACAGATCTTTTCAGTCGGTTTGCTTGCATAAATATTCAATTGGAAGAAGAAATGTAAAGAAGCTCAAATGTGATTGGTGGGATGATCGCAGTTTGTATAAGAGTCTCTCTGATTCGGCAATACGTTTTTACAGTTTTCAATTTCAAAAAAAAAAAAAAATCAAGTTTAAACTTGTTCATTCTCAGCCTTTAGTAACATTCTTTTTACAAGAAAATATTATTTACAAAAAACGTAAACCCTGACAAGTCATTTTTTTAAAAGAAACACCCCTCTCAAATAATGCTTGCTCCACTGTTTGACAGTAAATAGGGAGCATCCATTTCGGTTCAGAAGGGGTGCGCAGGTTAAAAAAATAATTACACTAAACTGGTTGACACCACCCTGTTGAACAGAAATACTATATGTCTGAATGTTTGACAATTCTACAAGAACCGCTGTCTTGTGATTGGTTGAGGGAGTCATGTGACCCCTGACAAGGTAGTGTCAGATTGACCTCTGGTGACAAACCTTGCTGACTGGAAGTCTCATTGCCAGGCGAGGGCGCTGTTTGAGCTACAGTTGGAGGGAAGTTATTCTTTGACGATGGTGGGACCTCAGAAGCCATTTCAGTATCTGTGGCTAAAAGACAAAACAGCAAAAGCAAAGTAATACAATTTGTATCAGGAAAATGTTCAAATTTACTCACAATTTTCTGTATACAAAGAGTATCAGGAAGGCCACACAAATGCCTACCTCAGACTGGGTGCAAGAACCATTCAACAATCACACATTGGATTGCTTGGAAGCTAAATGTAAAAATCGTCTTAAATTCCAACTTAAGATTACAGCATGGAGTGTTTCCCTGACATCAACAAGGTTCGACCTTAACTTTTTTTTCACTAGCCAGCCGGGCTACTGAAACAGACTCTTAACTAGCCCGCGGGCATTTTAACTAGCCCGCATGTTGTTGGTTTTTTTTTTATAGCTCAAATACAAAATGACATACTTTCAGGCTCAATTCTGTCGCAATTTTGTCAGTATTGTTAATAAACGGATCTAATAATTTAACCCTTTAACAGTTGATAAAATGAGAAACAAATTGATACAGGTTTGCTTTCTGAATTTAATGATGTATTTCTTCCTGTCCTTTCATCTTTGCCATATCCCAATAATTTTTTTGACTCGCCAGCAGGGCTACTTAAGGAATAGTTTGACTAGTCCGCCTGTGTTTTGACTAGCATTTGGCTAGCGGGCTACCGCTAATTTTGAACCCTGATGAATGGCTGATTGGGTGCTCGAATTCTTAACATTTTCTAGCATTTTTCTAAAATTTCATTTGTTGTTATAACCCACCTTCTCTACTCGTCGTGCCCTCTCGTTTCCTTCGTCTGCTGCGATCACCTTTAGGATGTCTACTAGGGCAGACTGGCCGGTCTCCAGTACCATATGACCCCGACCCAGGAAAGGTCAACGACACCTGACCTTGATGACCTTCCCTATCTAAACTCCCTCCAGCACCACGTAAGCTACGACAGCTACCGTTGACATACAGATGTTCATTGGATGCTCCGCTGCTATGATTAGAGTTGGTGTTCTCATTGGGACTGGTCATGTGACAGGGTTGAAGGGTTTGATTGGTTGCCGGGATGTGACCATTAGCAACGGGAGAGGTCGGAGGTGAAAGACCAGGGAAGTAGTTAGCTTCATCCAGGGTGTCCTGTGAAAACAAGGAGAGATTACAAACTTAGTGTCCTGGGCCAAATAACGTGGAGCTGTTAAGAGAAAAATACGATAAGCAAAGAATCAGCTGCGAACCATTATGCAATATACATAGTGAATGACATTTGGTTGGTAACCTATCATTTATGCTATCATAGTATTTTCTATACTTTGCACAATAGATTTACAACCAAGTATAAAGCATATAAATAGTGATAGGTTATGGTACGCGCTGCTATATCAGATTAGAACCAGCCAGCGGGCCCTGGCAAGCTCAGTGGTGAAGTGGTTAGACATCTGCACTAGTAAGCAGGAGGTCGCGGGTTCAAGCCCCACCCAAGTGAGCTCGGAGGTTAAGTTTTGAGACACCTGCACTAATAAGGTGGAGGTTGTGGGTTCCAGGCCCCCGAGTAGCCTGTGAAATTTTCTCACCAGCCCTTGGACAAAACTGAGTAAACAGCGTTAACAAAATTACGTAGGCGTAAGGCAAAACCCAAACTGGCACAATTTCATTCCTTGTTACGCTCTTAAGATGCAGATTCTCTCAACTTTCCTCTTGGGTTAAGAGTGAAAAATCTCCAATTATCAGAGAGCAGAGCTGCAAATCAAGGTTTGAAACCAACTGCTGTAGCCAGACCTACCTGAGGCATTGTGTAGAGAGGTCGAGGGTCAGCAGGCGTGGCTGTATCACCATACGGTGGGTTACCTCCTCCATGTCCCTGGGGCGTGTTACCGTTCATATAATGACCAAACTTGTAGGCGTTCCCGTTATTGTGACGGTAGGCTCCATCGCAGTAATAACCGTAATGCCAATCACCTACAAGCAAAGAGAAAAAGGTTATTATTATTATTAATCATTTCTGGTAATGAAACCAAGGATTCCTCAAAAGTGCCCTAGGCACTGTAGCTCGCAAGCCTGAAGAAAGCTGTGGAGAGAAGACAATGAGAAGAAATTACAGTTTTAGAAGTGGGAGGAAAAGCCGAGTAGAATATTCTGGGGAAAACCCACGGAATCAGGCAGGGACTGAAAACCCAATCCACATATTGGCCCAGGCGGGATTCGAACCCGGGTCGCGGTGGAAGGCGGAGAGTCCTCAAGCGTGGTAGGAGTGTAGCAATTCACTGATTCATTGATGATTGTGATATGAGAATGGAGAGATGCAGCATCAATAGGAAATTGTATGCATGTAGTTATGTGTATTTTTTATTAAGTGCACGTATCCACCAGTATTGGTGCTCAAGGCACTACATCATTATTGCCCTGCTCGCTGGGTATGGGTCAATGAAACATTCCAAACACAATCTCAGCTCCCTGGGGAGTATACAGCTCGATGCTGCCATTTTGGCACAAAGCAGCTACAATCAACCACAATAACCATCTCTACCCTCACTGCAGCATAGACCTTTTGCATCTAGTCATTTTGAAGGTTCATTTTGTTTATTTATTTCAGTAACACTGAATGTAGAGAGTTCTACTTACAGATACATGTATCCCTCTGCAAAAAAACCAACACACCTTAACAGCAGTATTGTTACAACATGTAATCCTATGGTGGAGAAATTTCAAATCCAAGATGAAAACAAAACAAAACCAAAATGTACTTACGGGCAAGTCTGTCATTGTTGACTTGTTTGGCCCTCCATATACACATGACTCCAAACATGATGAGAACCAATAACATCGCTCCTAGCACCACGCCTAGGGTGATGTATAAGATATCTTCACCCTGATTGGTGGATGCATCAGGCTCGGTATCATCAGGTATGGATGGGATGTTGGGATTACGACCACCAGACGAAGGGTTAGATGGGTAAGGGTCTGGGATGATGATGGGTGGTGGTGGGGTCTGTTGAGCTGGAGGAACAGAAAGACAAGGAACATTTACATGTTTGAATTTAGTAACAAATTAAAGGTAGTTGAAACCATTCAAGGAACAATACAGTCAATCTTAAGCAGCTAATTAAAAGACACCTGTTGAACTTTCACCTCAGTAGATGTCATACTTTTTTAGAAAACTGTGTAAATACATCAATATTTCCTGACACAGCGCACAGGTTTCTGTTGAAAGTGTGATGGTTTGATCTTAACCATCGCAAGGAAATGATGGTTATTCCTCTTTTCTTGCACATGACAGCATACAAGGCGCAATGATTCACAGGATGCATGATCCTAATATTCACTTACAATCAAGTTGGATATTTCACGCTATTTTGACAGTTTCCTGTTTGATTGTTTGCAAATGGTGTCCATTACCTTAACCCTAACCTCACCTAAAGCTTCAAAATACTAAGTAGTAACCTGTAACATTTCTTCCCTTACAAGTGTGCACAACACACGTAGTATTCTGCGGCATTTGGTCCTTGACCCCCAAAGAGCCCTTAGGACGTTAGGGTTAAGCTCATCAAATATTTCAAAATCCAACGATTGATTTAACTTTGGATGTATTGATGTGTGTACAGCCTGGCCATTATTGCTTTGGATTAGTGTTGAAGTCTATCATAAGTCTCATCATTCATAAGTTACAAGTAACAGTAGATAAACAATAATGGCCACAATGCCATTCATTTGAACAGCCTGTAGCTTGACATGGAACTGGATGACCTGCACAGGAATGACTTGAGGTGGACTAGTGTAAACTTGAGATAGACTTGACCAGATAACTACTTCGACACATTTTTAAGACAACATACATTGGTCCTTCACTATATTATATTTTGACTTAACCCTTCAGTAACAATGTTCTCAAAGTTATACAGCCTATTACACCCATTACACTAACTAAATTGCTGACCCATTCCGGACCTTATTACGTACCCATAGTTTCACGGATGATCACATTACTGAATGGACTCTCCCCTCCATCATTGAATGTCTGCATCTTGATGTCATAGGTCAACTCCGCCTCTAGATTACGGATCTGATAGCGTCTGACGTCATCACCGACCACCGGTGTGCGTGTGTAATCGTTGTCATCATCGCTGTCTGTGTTGCGATAGTGAACGTAGAATCCCGTGACTGGGATATCAGGGAATTCTGGCTCAAACTGTAAAGATTGAATCAAAACAAAATATAAGTGAAATTGCTATAATCATTGCTATTTACATTGTACCAGTGGATGTGGAAACCAAACCAGTCAAAAGAATGTCATAGAATTCTGGTTAAAATAATAAAAATATCATAATGAAAAACTTTATCACCAAAATTTAAAATGTTAATTGTATCAAGTTGTTGTAAATTGTGTTTAACCTTTTTAATGGTAACATGTAAAGTGGACTCAAGTTATCTCTAGTTCTTTGTCAAGTTTGGAGATTTTTGAGTTGTTTTCTAAATGTGGATTTCGAACTTTGAAAGCCATGTAAGACGTTGTCAGTGCAGGCTTGGTCAGCTACTCTCATAGAAGTTCTAAGCCCCCTAACACACAAGTCGAGTCTAGGTTGATGCTGAACTGAAGACTAACCTCCCATTCTACCAGGATTGAGGTAGAACTCATCGCGACACAGTTGATGATTCTTGGTGGGTCTAATGGTGGCCGGACCGGTGGATCCATACTACCAGGGACGTGCATCAAGAAACGATTGGACATCTCACTAGGTTCACTGTCACCGTGGGTGTTAGATGCGATGACACGGAAACGATATGTTGCACCTGATGGGAAGAAGTACAAAGGAATGACTATACAATGAACCCATTAATCCCTGTACAACCCTGGTTACTCCTGGTACCAACCCAGCTGTGTATAGTGTCATGGATTTATGTAATACAATGTAGTACAAGTGCTTATGGGTTGAGAGTTATGACAGCTGCCCTGCCTGTTACTCCTGGTACCAACCCAGCTGTGTATGGTGTCATGGATTTATGTAATACAATGTAGTACAAGTGCTTATGGGTTGAGAGTTATGACAGCTGCCCTGCCTGTTACTCCTGGTACCAACCCAGCTGTGTATGGTGTCATGGATTTATGTAATACAATGTAGTACAAGTGCTTATGGGTTGAGAGTTATGACAGCTGCCCTGCCTGTTACTCCTGGTACCAACCCAGCTGTGTATGGTGTCATGGATTTACAGAATACAATGTAGTACAAGTGCTTATGGGTTGAGAGTTATGACTGCTGGTTCTTCTTGGAACCATTTCACTTTCAGAGACAGTAACTTTGCATGGAGTAGCTGCTTGATTCTCTGACGTAATGAAGATACAATGGGAGTATTACAAAGTTAGTTTAGACTCTGCATGGTTCATCAGTCTTGATTTTATTTCTGGTATTCTTGGTTTTAAATGGCCAACAGTTTAACTACTGCCTGTTGGATGGTATGCCATTTCATCACAGGTTACATCTCCTAAACTATTAAATGCCGGTACCCATTTATACTCAAAGCTTGAGAGAATTGGGGTAATGTGTACAGGTACAGTATATTAAATAAGTGGATGGATTCGAACCCTTAACCATCCAATTAAGAGTGGGATCATGTAACTCTTAAGTCAATAAACTGACCTTCTTTCAATCCCTGCACTTCATAAACTCTCCTGTTCAGAGGGATGACATTAGAAGCGGTAACCCAACCATCGATTGACGCTACATCCCTGTACTGAATGGTGAAACTAGTCACTGGTATCCTGCTGAAGTAATCCCATCTTGTCTCAACGGACGTGTCTGATGTCTTGATGATGATAGGCTTAGTAGGAGCATCAGGAACTAGAAGGAAGACAGTAGAAATGATGTTACGGTTTCTGAAATTCATGGTTTGGTTTTGGATGAACTATTGGAGGTATTGAGAAAAAAATGGAGTCTAACATTAGTTACTACAGAACAAACTTGAGATATGTGGTGAGATCTAGTTTTTTTTATTCCAAAAGTACAGAAGCTGGACTTTATAAAACAGTTGATTGACTCAGCACCTGCTAAAGATAAAGAAACCCGAAACCGGCCTGATTTATATTAGAACAATTTCATAATACTTTTGTCACAAGCTTAATAATCATGCAGGCACAGAGACTATGTAACAAAGCAATTGTCCACTTTCATTTCTCCATTTCTAGTTGCAAAGGCCAATGAACTGACAAATATTTGACCTTACCTGTTCCGGGTTTATTTGGTTCATCTGTTGTTTGTGTTGTTATGGTGATGTCATCATTTACAGGCGGGTTCAGGACATGTCGCGAGCTGCTCTCTGGTACCGGTGTCGTGCTGATTTTCTCTGCAACACAAATGAAACAACCAAAAGATAAAAACTGTGTGTGATTGATATCAACTCAAATGTGTTGCTCATGAAGTAACATAAAAGCATTGCTGTACATATCCATTAACACTGTGAATTAACTTGCTCTGTTAACTCTAACCCTCCCAGTTTCTGCAACATCCATCCAGAGGTTGGAGGGTTTTCCAGGATTGAGAAAGGTTCAAGCCTGGCTTGTATTACTTAGATGGCGTTTTTATTCATTCATTTTTATTTTGCCAATTGATAAAAACAACACAAAATATATAACAACAGAGAAAAATACAGTACACTAAAAATGCAAAAAAAACACAACAACAACGACTTGGAAGGAACACCAATACTACAAGAAAGACAAATAACAGGACAAATTAAACCTAAGCCTGCATGGGCAAGGGCTGACAAAAGCGAAGAAAATCACTGTAGTCCATAGACTTGCCATCAGCCCTCATGTTTGATATCTCTTTGAATTGAAATAGCTAGGAATGTGTTATTAGGTCCGTGCACAGCAATGGATTTTGCTGGATTCAGGAGCTTCTTAGGAAAAATGGACTGGGGAGAGTTTAGATTTGAGTGAGTTCTTATTTTCTTGACGTTAAAACTGACCCCCAAGATCAGAAGGTTTGTTCTTACCAATGACGGCCAGATAAGCTTCTGCAGCTACCTGTCCATGTTTGTTGGCTGCTGTGCATCGATACCAACCCACATCGTCTGGACCAACTCGGGAAATGGTTAATCCACCTGTGAAATGAATAAGAACACCTGCTCAACAGTCTCAGTCAACACTGGTGGTAAAGAAGACTCCACTCACTAGACTGTAAATTGCTCAAAAACGTGAGATTTGAGGGCCAGCGGAACTGAAGTGGTCACACATGATGAACCACTGATGATCTTCTATGTATCACGTCCAATATGGACACACATCCCTCCTAGTTCATGAATGTCGCCCACGACAAGGCTAGATTGAGCCATTGAAGGTTAAATGCTGCAATAAGGCGACATGTACCTAAGACCACCTCTACCATGCCTCAGCATTGTAGTAGAGGTAACGTGGTTTACATGTACATGACCTAATCTGGAAGCATCCACAACAATCTCTTAACAGATGATGTTCATGGAAGAACCACTTGGTCAAAGAAGGGGTGGTCAACAAAGATTCTATATATACCTCTAGTACTTCTACAAGAACATGTAGGGTATGTAAAAGGACGCAGGAGTGCATTATAAAGTCAGTCTATAGACCATTATCATGTAGCGGCCATCTTGATTTTTCCCCATTCAAATCAACGTTACCAAAGGGAGGCTAGATGGAAAATAGTCTGGTTCCTCTTTGCACAAAAAAAACATCATTCAGTTCTGTTTTTCATGACTGAAATGGTGGCAACATAATAAAGGTCTACTCTGAGACCTTCTGTTAGTGTTTGTACATGTAGGGTGCCTGCCAATCATTAGCTCTGTTCAACACTTCAGGGACTCTGAACTTCAAGTTTCAAAGAAAACAATCGAGACTGACCAGTTTCTTCCGAGATGAACATGCTCCTGGTATTCCGTACAACGGTTCCCAGTGGGTCATGCCAACTAACAAATGGCATAGGATCCCCAGTGATGCCACAAGACAGAAAGACGTTCTCTCCTTCGATAGCGGTGGTGTTGACCGGTGGGTCCACGATGGCAGGAAATCCCTCTGCACAATTTATGAGTCAAACATAATATTATTTAGGAAAGTCTTATGTCATTTGTAGCCATAATTCAACTATCTTAACCGCACATGTTCAAATATCAGAAAGAGGTTGGCCACATGGAGACGATCGCCTCTTAAACCAGGCTTTCAATAAATAGAGAGAGCTGTATAAGAATGGAAAAAGACACTTCACTAGTTTCCTTTCAATATTAACCAATCATTTAAAAAGAATTAATACATTTTAGAAACCAGGACTCTTGCGGGGTTTATTTTGGCAAATGCTTCTTTTTTGGGTTATATATAACTAATAATCACATCTCAAAATGTCTTTTTACTTTTGCTTAAAACTAAATGATGACTGGTAAAGATGCATGCCTCCCTTGAATGATAGCATTCCTTACCTCTGAGCATGAGTTTAGCTGTGGCCTGTGCACTGCCATGGTCAGTTTGAACAAAGCATTGGTATGGACCCAGATCTGATCGGGTGACTTCATTGATAATAAGTTGACCCTCTGAAATGAAATACAAGAAATTACAGGTACTGAACAAGCAATGTGTGAAGACAAGAAAACGATTGATGAGAAGGTAATTAGTGAGTCTGGGTTCAAGTCCTGTCTGTGTTCCTGTAGATTAAAGGCTAGACCATATGCAATGATAAATCAAAAAAATTCAGTCCCGCAGACTATTTCTTGGCCCTTAATACATTTCTTTTTACTTGTGGAACATTCTATAGTTAATAAAAGTAAGGATTCCTGAGAAGTTCATAACAGACACCACAACCGGCAAGCCTGAATATACCTATACGGAGAGAAGACAATGAAGAAATCTGTAGTTTTTAAGGATACGATTGTCAATTTGAAAAAAAATATCTGAAATTTGGATGATTGGGAAAGCCCAGGATAACATTCCAGAAAACTTCACGGAATTAGATTCAGCACTGCATATCCAATATGTTGGCCCTCTGTATCCTACCAAGATACCTGTATCTCCCATACTTACCTAGTATTTCATGTCTCGTGCTCATTTCTGAGATTCTCTGTCCATTAAACAACCAGACAATCTGGTTCTGGTTGACTCCTCTGACTGTGCATTTGAAGTGACCAGTGCCTCCCAGGTCAACGTGAGTGTTCTTAGGCGCCTTGGCAATAGACACGGGTTCTAGAAAGAGGAAAATAGTCACACAAATTCAGGTACAGTTTAATGCATGCAAGCTTGCATACTTGTCTCACTGTGCACACCAATATACCTGTACAATGTACCGGTAGGTTTGCTTGATTGTTGGGATAGTTTACACATCAGAACAAAGATTCTTCTTCTTGAATATTGTAGTCTGTACATGTACGTATTTCTGAATTGTTCCGTTAAAAGTCACATGCCAGAATACAAGATGCCTCTGACTCTGCCCTGACTCACCTATGACCTCTAGTGTGACCTCTGACCTCTGTGATTGACCTTGCTCATTCAGCGCTGTGCATGTATACACCCCAGCATCACTCCTAGAAACAGATGTGATTTCTAGACTGCCTGGGTAGTGGACGCCATTATCTGGTATCAAGCCTTCCACCATATCCCATTGGACATCTGGGTGCGGAACACCGCCTGCTACACACTCTAGCACCGCCCTCTCATGAATGTTGACTGACACGCCCCTTGATGTCTGTATGCTGGGCGGGATTTGGACTTCAGACACTACAAAGCAAACATACAGAGGATGCGTTTTGAGTTCAATAATGATCAACATTCACACCATGAATCACAGCACCTTTGGTGACAAGTTTTGTTTGGCTCTTCGCATTTGCATTTTTTTGATATAAAGCTATTTTTCAGGAATAAATCTTAACTTTTTGTAATTCTGTATAACTGTGTCCCTCAGTCTTGACAACAATAGCAACAGACCAAGAGCTAACTTCAAAGGAAAGTTAAAGGAAATTCAAGAAAACTGGACCTCTGAAATTCTTGCAATATTTGATTGATTTCAGACTCACCCTCCTGTAGTACTAGCGTTGTTCCGTTCCCTGCCGTGTGTGTCTTAGACAGAGTTGGGTTGGTAGCTAAGCACGTATAGTGACCCTCATCTGATTCCGATACATTAATGATGTGAAGATGACCAGACGGCATTATCCTGTAATGATCTGTAGAATGAGACAGTGACAAAGAGGATAAGTCTCAGAGATGTAGTAGTGGTCAATTGAAAAGCAGGCGTTGTTTCAATGGAGCTAGAAGGTCCAAACATAATCACTCATGTTCAAGGTAATATACAGTTGTGTGGGAAACTGGCTTACTGACACTTTGCATTAAGCGTCCATCTTGGAGGTGTTCATTTTAATTAGTACCGTAACAATGAATGCACAAGATGTCGACTCAAGTGTATCCGTGTACAACAAAAGAATGGACCTCAAACATGGCTGCAATGCAAAGAATCAGTCCTTGACATTACAATCTAAATGTCTTGACTTCACAAAGACATACCAAGAGTGACTTTCATTTTCCAAGTAAATTTCTGGCTAAAGATACGGTACTTACAATGTAGGAATTTCCAAACCAATGATCATTTTAACAGCGAAGAAAAGTCATATTATAAACACCTGTTCCGATTTAATTGATTAAGGAATTGAGGACAAACCATCATCTCCCTGGTGGGGAGATTTTAGACAGCTGGCAGTCCCAACTTAACAGTCAACCATCAAATTCTCCTAACTTGTTGTAAAACTCAATAAGGTGGAAATAATCTATATGGAATGGCAAACAAGACCAGCCACATCGGAAAAAAAAATACAGAAAAACAAGAAGGGAAAACTGAAAAATTGGAAACATGTTTGTAGTAACGACACTTAACCCCCTTAGGCCACCACAGAGATCAGATGGCATCATATCATAACTGCCTCACTAACAACCCTAACACTGTGTGTGGTCCTGCTCACAAGAGGGCGCCATTCACTGACCCCAAGGTCAAGTTCTTGTTGCTGAGGTTGGATGCACACAGGGGAACAAAAAAAGGCAGCGGCCACATGGGGAACATTATGGGATGCATTTCAACTTGTCAGAGAGTTTGATGACTAAACCTTGTGAACTATAACTCTTTTTTTCTTTAACAGAATAAAAGTTGGGAAGAAGTTTTGGACCACCTTAGAGATTTAGTGGCGAAAACATCTGATTTCCATTTTAACATTTCCTGAAATTGGGTGATATTTTGTCCAATAGAATAAAGACATCTGTTGACACAAGATGAAAAGTTCTTGTGCACTTTTGATAATTGAAGCCTTGACAATGTGACCTTTTGTTGCCACCACATTTCAGTTTTTTTTTGTGATGTTTAATTCATCAGTTGTATTTCATTGATATTTTTCTATTTGCTTTCAAATAATACACATCGTTATTTTTTGTTCCTTTTGGTCCAAACCTTTTGCAGGATTGTTACCTTGTCCTTTTCCAGATGTATTCAACTGTAGGCTGGGGTTGATGTTATCGAGTTGAGTCAGATTTTGAAAATAAACCAATCGAACGGAAGACTTTTGCTAGATTGGTGAGCAATATTTGAGACCATAGCAATATGCATGCAGTCTATTGGGTACTAACCTGAGGAGCTTGATATTGTTTGACCTTCGAACTCATAGAAGACAAGGCTAGACTGGTACCCACTATGCAACGTTGAGACCATAAAAATGTGCATGCAGTCCATTGGATACTAACCTGAGGAGCCTAATATCGTTTGACCTTTGAACTCATAGAAGACAAAGCTAGACTGGTACCCAATATGGAGTGTTTAGACCATAGCAATATGCATGCAGTCCATTGGGTACTAACCTGAGGAGCCTAATATCGTTTGACCTTTGTACTCATAGAAGACAAGGCTAGACTGGTACCCAATATGGAGTGTTTAGACCATAGCAATATGCATGCAGTCCATTGGGTACTGACCTGAGGATCCTGATATCATTTGACCTTTGAACTCATAGAAGACAAAGCTAGACTGGTACCCAATATGGAGTGTTTTTAGACCATAGCAAGATGCATGCAGTCCATTGGGTACTAACCTGAGGAGCCTGATATTGTTTGACCTTTGAACTCATAGGACATGACAGCTGGTGGTATGCTGTCTGGTGCTTCACATTCTATAACTGCTACGCTGCCCTTCTTGGCGTAAGCTGTCGCTGGTAGATGTGTTGAAAATCGTCTTAAATCTGAAAAGTGATGAGAAGAAATAAGAGAATTAGATGAAATTCAATTTGATATAAGTCCAAGTTCAGAGGGCCCAAAAGTAACTTTCTGAAAACCTATCGAACAACATGATTGAAGCATGGAAACCGTGAAAGACTGTTATGGTTTAGCTGGATAGGGCGCTGCATTTATATACATGTACAAGGGAGCCAGAAGATTAATCTAATAAATAACACAGTTTTCTTGGATTGTTAGTGCTTAGAGTGGCTGAGAAATCTCAGATAAATAAAGTAACTAAATAATTTAATGTTGTTTCATGTTTCATATAAAAACAAAAGCAAAAAAAATTGTTGGCAACTGTTGATTTTGTTTGTTTCACTCTGAAATTTATGTGAATTACACAACTGTCTTAACCCACTAGCACTTGCATTACATTATGTACCATTACATTGTAACACTGTGACTAAACATTACTTCCCTTATGAAAACCATACAATACTCGGGCAGTTTAGGATGTTACAGGGAGTAACAGGCAGGGTGGTTTAGGGAACGTTTCATGGACAATATGGGTTAAAGCTTTGCAGAAATAAAAATTGAAATTGTTATGTGTAATACTCACAAGCAGCCTGTACATGCGCTACCCTGCTGACTATCAATCCTGTCCTGTTTCCTGCTTTGCACTGATAACCACCATTATGTGACCTCTCCCCTTCACCCTGAAAAGAATCAATCTTGAGGTATTTTGGAGTGACTTGCATCCCCAGACTAGCTGGGTCCGTGATGTCTTGGCCGTTGAATGACCACCAGATAGGAGCGTCTTTAGGGTCTACTTTACAGCGGAGTTTGACGCGGATGTTGTGCTTGACGATTCTTGACCGTGGTTCACTCAGGAAGGACGGGGATGAATCTACAAGGAGAAAAAGCGAATGCAAGTTATCAGACAAGGTTGAGTAGTTTTTCAACTATAATTCTTAAGATCTGAAAGATTAACTCCCACAATTGAAACAGCGACAACAAGCAAAAGGATTGACTGTTGCAGTCCTATGGCATGAAAGTAGAGTCCAGTTAATTTCAAGCTCATCAGTCTCGGCCCAGTCAGTTCACCTAATATAGACCAATTCAGTGACAACCATTTCCTGAGGTGGTACCCAGGCTTGCGTAAGTCGCACTCAGGTAATACGCAGGCACTCTGGGCTTACCAAAATGCATGCGCCCCTTGTCTATACAAATGTGTGCGGCATGCATGTGGCATGCACACAAATGTGGTTCCTCCTAAAAATGGCTTCTAATCTTGTTTGCAGAATTAAGTCTATACCCACAAACTTTCCTCCTTAGACCCATACTGACACACGCAAGAATCCTCCACAAGACATCTACTTGGACTTAATGAGCAGACCCAAGACTTTTCTTGACGGTGTCTTAGTGGGATATTGATACTGCACTGATGGAGCAGTAAACTGCCGAGATTGAGATTAAGAAATGGTCTGTGATTTGAGGGATGCTTTCATTTGCTTATAAGAGGTGCATAGCGGGGATGCTACATGGGCTATGGGGGTACATAGCGACTTGAGATGTATGTGAGGCAGCAGGGCTGGCCATGTGACCCTTCAAGACTGTTACGTTACTAATTTGTTAGCTGTATGAAGGGTATCATGTTGAACAGACAGCAGATGTATCAGAATTGATGACTACAAAATGGCACACTGTAAGGTGCATCATGTACCGGTACTAACTTGTGCTTGCTCTCTGTACTACCGGTAGTTCCTTCTTAAAATTGATGATGTTACAAGAAAGGAACTTGTAATTCTAAGCTTTGGTTTTTTTTTTCAATTTTCAATGGCATACAAGAACTCAAAAAGAGAAAATCAGCTGATTCAAGGAAAAGCTACTTGTCTGTTTAATGATGTCGTCAAAATAAATTATAGTGCTTATAGCGCTTTCTATTGTATCAACAATCTCAAACCACTTTACAATAATTCCCCCATTCATCAGGCTACGAGACCCCGCGGCAGCCGATATCAGTGCACATTCGGTCCCCTACGCTCACAGGAACCAATCATACTCCTGGGTGGAGAGCTCAGGCAATTGCGAAGTGTCTCGCCCAAGGGCACAAACACCATGTTCCTGGCAGGGCTTGAACCCACGTACCATCGTACATGGTCAAACACCATAACCACTGGACCATGGCATTCTACAATTGGTAATACTACGGCTCTCAACTGCAAACAGACAAAACTGCCATCAAGGTGTCTTTCTCATATTTGTCCATGTTTGTAATGTCGACATTTTTAAACCTACTATAAACCATACCTGTACATTATCTACCGGTAGGCTACATGTTTTGTAAAATTTTCACTGGACTCGAAGGGGCCTATAATCCTATGCCTGAGTCACGGATTGACTGACAAACTGACTGAATGACTGACGAGTCTCTGTGTATAAATAATATCCAAAAACTGCTAAATGTTAGATAACATGAGCATGGAACATACCTGCTAATGACTGACATAGAAGCAAGACCAGACTACAGAGAAGTAGGTCCACTAGTAAATAGATGGGAACTTCCATCTTGACGAGGCTTCAGTGTCAGTTGATAGATGAACTCATTGATGAGATCAACTCATTAATTAATACCTGGAGAGGAGGAAACAAAAAAAGGGGAAACAAGATGATTAAGGAAATCTTAAATCTCTGGGTTAATACAAATTTGTACAAAATTATAAGAAAGTTAGGTCTCTTTTAAACATTTTCATTCTTTTCCAAAGAATTATCAGCACTGTTTCATCACCGCTTTCACACAATCATTGAAAAAACCTTGATAAGCTAACTTACTGGTAGATACATAGAGTTAGACAGGACTCGAACCCAGGACCTCCAGATGGACCGTTCCAGTTTGATATCACCAACGAGATTACATGTATATTTCGTTGTTTGACAATCATATCTCTTAGGGTTGTTCTCCTTTCTTTCAATGTTTTCCAGGTTGATTTGTTATTTTGGTTTCTTATTCAGTATTTCACTTTAATATATCCTTTCAAAAATTACACACAGGTATTGCATACCAGTATTTGAACCCTTTTCTACTTATATACACAGATAGTTAATTTCTTATCGCTGTGTCTATGCAACCTTTTTAACATTCGTATTTGACAAATTACAAACTTCCTTCACCAATTGAACCTGTAAGTAAACCCACTATGTGCAGGTGTATGGTTACTATAAACACTACCAGCCCAGCCCAACTCACTAACCAAACGTAAACCAATCATGATACACACACATCCTACACTCATGTATCTGTTAACACACAACTCTCATATTGGAACAGTTTGACAACACAAAGCATCACCTCTTAATGTCAACCCAAAATAAACACTCAACCTCCAAACCTCAACCCCCCTTTTCTTTCCTTCCATCTTCAAGGAAGGAATTCCACACTTTACATCACATGCCTACTTATGATCATGTAGTGCCAATCTATCAGCACTGTAGAGCTACTGCAATGCAATATCATGCTCTTTACTGGGTGACCTGACCCGACCCTAAAAAGTTGACCTGGCAAGGTCGGCTTGTTAAAGGGGCACACCAGTTGTGAATGTCATCCAAATGTACTGTTCCCTGAATTAGACAAACGTGATAATGATGGACTAATTTGCACAAACTACATGTAAAGGGTATACACTTTGTGAGGTGTACATGTACATGTGTGCCTACGCTCAAGCATTCATTAAAGGTTTTCGCACATATTACAGTAATTCAAATTTAAATATTAAAACTGAATTTAAAAATCAAGTTAATAATCAAGTTTTAAAAAGTTGATATACATGTGCAGCTACATGTATGTCACAAATAAAATCAATTTGACAATGGAGTTGATGCAGCCACAATGTTTTTTAAGTTCGACTCAAAAGTAGCATAAACCTTTAAAGAAATTTTTTTTCTGGTGAACCCAACTTTTCAATTGCATTTGTTTTGACAGTTTCAATAGTTACAGGTGCAGGAGACTGGTCTAGCTCCACACATCAGATGGGAGTTCCAATCAGGAAATGGTCCTTAAATCAAACTGATAATGCCTCACTCATCCAAGATTTCTTGTCTTGAAGGTCAAACCTTTCAAAGTCTAAGACTTCAAGACAGGGCTTGGAGTGACATCAACTGTTTATATTGAGAAGGTTCAGGGTAAGGGCTGTCTGGGGAAATGGCTGGCTGTTTATTTAAACGTCAGGTCACTTGTACTTTTGTCAAGTTGTATCTTTTATCCATTGGAAGACAAACACGCATGGTTTACATGTATTGAAGTCTTCAATGTGGAAGTTTTAAATAGACACAAGTAATGTACAAAGAGAACTTGCAAATTTCAACAATGTTTTCTGCAGTGATGCATTTAACAAAAGATGTTTCACATTACATGTATATCTGAACCAGTAAAAATCAGATTTTAACTTTCATCAAGGGTACTGTTTAATAAATGGCCATAGTTCAAATTTTCGACAACAACTTTCTTAAGTTTAGCAGAACCCTGAACAAATTTGCACTGCAAGAACTAATAAAGCGCTAAATAAGATTTCAAGGTTTGCATGACAAAGAGCGCAATAAGAGTAGGTGCATCGTTGTGAAAAATTGTTTTTGTGAGTTGGTGAGGTTCTGAAAAGAACCGGGGCAAACTAATAATGTGCTATGTTTCATTCTCTGAAAGCTTCCTCAACAAATGATTCATAAGTTCCACATGCAGACTGCTACAAGCAATACCCAACCCCTATCTCTGTAATCAAACACCAAATTAAATTATATGGCCCTCACCTCACTGTAAGAAATACCCCTGAATTCCCTGAACTTGCTGCCACCACTGAACCCACAAAGACACAAAGCCTTGCATTGGCCTCATGCATTACTGAGATGATCAATATCAATCTGCTCAATTTCTTGAACCTGTTCCTGGTGTCTGAATGGGAAACAGGTGTGGTGGTCGTAAAAAACAATCAATGATTATATCAGAAAGAGTGGTTAGTATGATGAAGGTGGATGTGTGGAAAGTCATGGCCATTGGTGAAGGTGACTCAGTCCATAAAATCAAGGGTCCAGTTTTGTTTTGTGTCCATATTTTACATCTGATATAAGATTTTGTAAATTCAGGACATTTTCTTTAATGCCTTCTGTCTTCAAGAGTGATTATGTAAAGCAAGTACTATACCTGCCAAACAAGCAAAAAACAGCAGGTCAGTGACTAACAGGGACACATAGGCCTACAATGTCACACTTGTGGACCCCTAGTGTATGGACTGACCCACTTGTACAGAATGTCATTGGTTAATGTTGATTTCAGGTCAGAACTGGTAAGAGAAAAACACTGAATCAATTGGTTGAAACCTCAGAATACATACACATTGTAAACTGTCAAGTGAACCAGTAGGAGTGTGACAATGTGACTTGAATGTGCACATTATTACAATTTGTATACATTCATTTGCAAAGATATATGCAAAATAATATTAATAAGATAAAGGAAGTGGTTCTCCTAATCTGAATTCACCGGAGTTGGTATGAAAACCTTGAATATTAGCATGAAAATCTATGATTAAAATGAAATGATGTTCAGGGCTCTCTTAAATTGATCAATTATTTTATTAAACATCAATTTTCTTTTCAAAATTAATGTCTTGAAAATAATAGTTTGTATTTAGTATTTCTCCACTACATGTAGCTGTAGCATACATTCAACTTTTCACGGAATGAAGGTTTCCCACAACCAACCAGTTTGTTTTTCTCAAAGTCTCTACCAAGTTTGATAGGTTTAATGTAAACTTTCAGGACCAATTCCAATCAATTGATTTTACCGCCGTCCGGCGCATTTTCTCCGGGTCACTCACTCTTTGATCCTCAAGACAAAAACCTCGCCGCCTTTTGGTTTCTGAACTACCCCCAGGTCATGCAATCAGGTCAGAACTAAAGACTCCCTGCAACGTTTGTGTAATCCATGGAATAAGCCAGCTGCATTTCACCTTGTCTCAAACAGGCTTCATTTGTAACTGTTGCAAATTTCAGGATTGGCTGAAAAGTTAGGAAAATTGATGAAAGGTCAAGGAAAGTTCTTAACAGTTGGAATTCCAAAGTAGATGACACCACAGTGACTTTTTTCTGTGAATGGGTAGTCGATCATTTCAGGCATTGTACATGTACCGGGGTATGGAATCTTATTGGGATGCAATGTATGCATTAAAAGTAAAATTTACGAGAAAAAAAGTCAAAGGTTCCAAAATGACTTATTGAGAAATTTTTTATTGTCAAATAATATCAGGATGCAAATTTTATCAACATGAATTTCAAAAAGGAAGTCAAATTACACAATGTATAAAAGCTTCTCAACTGAAGACTTGTGCTGTCTAAATCATTACGCTGTTGATTTTCTTCAATGTACATCTTATAATTGTGGCTGTCATTCTTTATGAAACTGAAAATTTCATTGAAATTATCCATCCAGCACACTTTCAAAGTCTTTCGTTAGCATGAAGTGGAAATGTTAAACATATTTTTGAAAATGCCTTTTATGGTAACAAGTTCTCTTTTTGGTCCAAACAATAAAATCCATTGCCATGTATGGCTTGACTTGAGGACATCTGTGGTAGATTTGCATCATCAGTGGAACCAATCAGCCAATCAAGATGGGAACCAGTGAAGACATGACCATCTGAGTCCCACCTGTGTTCTCTTGTCAGTAAGGTATGGGTTACCAGCCAAAACCTTCTGAGTTCTAAGCCCCATAACACATTCCACATCACCTATAATCATGATCACCTTCACTCGGTAAAATGATGGATTAATAAACAGAACCACAAGGCACCTCGCAAATGCACCTAAAAACCATTTGGTAGATGCATAACATGTTGTGGTAAAAAAAAATCTGAGAGATGGATATTGCCCTGGGGAGACAATATCAAACAGCACACCAATAACCCAGGCTGGAAAATTTGATTTCTGGCTTGCCGTTGGTCCATGGAGGGAATGAGTGTTTGAAGACCGGGTGTCCCGTTGGGAAATGAACCCCTAGAAATAATGACCGGAGAGGGCAGTGAACCGGAGGGTTGGTGCACATGTAGCATGATTGGAATGTGTGGCATACAGATTGAGATAAGTGGAAATACTCAATCACATATCAATCATTGCAATTTTGAAAGGGTTAATCATGCCAATAACGAAGGGGGGAAATATCAAATAACGAGTTAGCTTCAAAAGTGAATTTGAATACCCTCTCGGATATATACGGGTAATTTTTCTCAATGTTAGATGTTTGGTGTTATGTGAGCACTTTTATCTGACAAACAAATATGGATTGCTGTCTAGTGCATGTACATGTATCTGTCAAGTGAAGACTGAAGTGACTGTGCTGTCTGTTGGGGTTATACATGTATACAGTAAATAAAAAATAAAACAAAAACCCCACAAAATTAGAATACAATGATTCCTATGTCTTTTTAATCCTGTGTACAACTCTGAGTTAGCAAGAATTAAAACATGCACATTTATACAGCAATAGTTTGGAAGAGAATGTAATACTGTTTTTTTTTTTTTTTTTTAATTACCCACAAAATAATTTTGGTCACAATTCTGCCTTGATACCACGAGTCATGGTATGGCTA